GGTGGAGTTGGAGTACTATTACAGTATTTACGGTATGTGTTTCTATTCTTCTTCACAAAGAATGCCTAAATTTGACTCTACTTGACTGCAAGTACTTTGTGCTTAAAAATGGAAACATTTCCTTTCTAGCATCTTTCGTTTCTTAATTCTTCTTCATTTGCTTCTCAATTCCTAGCTTTCTCGCAGCAATGAATGATCGCAGCAACGATCTATGCCAAAAAATAAGCGCCAGAAGCTATAGGTTTCTATTCTTGAGCGCAAAGAACAAACAAAACATTAATACCGTCGAAATTCGATATAACGAATCGCTTGGGACTGAAAACTTTGATATAGCGAATCTAAAACGCGCCAAATTTTCTGTGTAGCTGCCCTGGACGGCCACTGATTGCATTTGGCTGGTGCAGCTACGCAGAAACTTTGGGCACATTTTAGAATTTCAAATTCATTGTATCGAAGTTCGTCTGTATTCGCGGTAGGCTAATTTCCGCAATTTTTGTTGCGCAACAGGGTCATTTGCGCAACTCGCCATAACTTTTTTCTAAGTCAGACAATCTTTATGATTTTGGTGTCATTTTGTTGCACTTATTGAGATCTACAAAATAAAACCAACATCATAAAGATTGGTCCACTTAGAAGAGAGTTATGGCGAGTTGCGTAAACGACCCAGTTGCGCAAATGACTCTATTGCGCAACAAAAATTGCGGAAATTAGCTGTATTCATTTTCAGATCAGAAAATTTCTATTGTGAAGCGCTCGTCTTTTTTACATCAAAATTCTTTAAAGTAAATTGTTGGAATGATCGAAAATCGCGAATTTCCACACGGTTTGTCGTTTATATTTATTTTTTTATCGTTTTTATCTCGGCTTTCGAAATTTTTCACATCACAATTTCCTCGTTTAGATCAAAATGATTGCTGCTGACAAAAATGTGCATCGAATTATCGATCCGCCGGGCATTTGGGACAGTTTGAGAGTGCTTTTTGGGCAACAAAAGGATATATGTTGTGGGTTTTCTTCTTTGGGAAAGCTTTATACTAGTTTTTAATGAAGTTTCTCTTCATCTTTTTATCTGAAATCGTCAAATGAACTAGCTGAATGGTTTCAGAATCAAAGTTTACTCTAGATTAGTTGTCAGTGAATGCACTTTGAGCTGTAAACACATCCTTTCTCGGCCCATCTAAATAATTATGGTACTCCCGAAAAGATGCGTTTCCACTTTTGAGCACAAAGTACATGGTAATCAAGTGACAAATCGATTAGACTTGTTTTTATGTATTTTTTGCTGGAAACGGATCCAATCTAGTGCACGGAATTCTTAGATAATAGGATAAATTGGCGTTTTTTATGAAAATTTAAGCTCTAAGTGGGCCAGAAAGTTGCGTTTACATTTGAAGTATCTCAAAGATCAAGAGTTGCATTGTGTTGAATAAAATAGAGATAACTATAAGAAGTAAACTATAAATATAACTATAAGAGATAAACTTATGATTTATCTAACTCACCAGCGGAAAACGCTCTTTCTTTCAATTTCAAATCACTTAAACTACCGTAACCCATGTTAAGCTCGGCCTCTTTTTAAAAATGGACCTAAAAGTCAGATTCCTCATGGCCGAAAACCCCCAGAAGAAAAATATCGCGCGCAAAAGCTGAATACTTTGCCTTTTAACCGATAGAGCAAACGTAATTAAGGAGTGTCGCGTTTGCGCACAGACGGACGGACAGACAGGCAGGCAGACAGACAGACAGACGGACATACAGGCAGACAGACAGACAGACAGACATACGGATCTCTTCTACTTTATATATAGTAGATTAGGTTAGTTTATATTATATTATTATGTTATTATTACATTATTATATTATTATATTACCAGCAAAAAACGCTGACGAACGTTCGTGTTTTTCACGCAATCTAAGTTCCGCCCCTTATTGCGGACAGACAGACAGACAGACATACAGACAAACGTCTCTTCTACTTTATATAGAGTAGATTATATTATATTATATTAGGTTGATGCATAAGTCTTTTCGTTTTTTTCGTACTTCTGTTAAAAAGTAACAAATTCACCAATTAATCTATAGTTTGCTCTATAAAAAAAGTGTTTTTTTGTTCAATTTCCATCTTTTTAAATCAATTTCGGTTCACTTTCAAGCAAATTCGAGAGTGAAAAACGCCTTTTTTCGTAAAAATCTATAAAAAACTCTACGGAAAAATTGGCTGAATGAATTTCTCTGAAATTTTGGCGAAATATCAAACTTTTTTTTCTCTATCTTTTATCTATTGACACGAAGATAGGTTTTCTTTAGCTAAGGTGTCTAAACCGCATCATCGAGTTAGCCCTTTTTGACTACCCGACTTCATACTCTCAAGAAAATCCAGGCATAAAATATTTTTAAACCCGTTTTAATGTTATTTTGCAGAAAAATAATTCGTTTTTCTAATGAAATCAACCGTAGTTTAATTGGTGCATTTGTTGGCTTGAAACGGCAGACGAAAAGGAACAAAAACACTTATGCATCAACCTATTATTATACAGTGCGTTTCAAATTCTTAAACGCACCCTCTAAAATAGCGGATTTTGCATTTTGACCACCGCTACAACTATTAATCTTTTTCTATTAGAAAGAGCATGTCTTAAAACCTAAATAACACGAAAAAGAAGCATACTGTAAAAAGTAAAAATTTTCAAAATAGAAACTTTTTGCTAAATCAACCGTTTCAAATTCTTAAACGCACCCGCCTTTGCTCTTGTTATTTGAAATTTTTCGTTTTGTTGTGCGTATTTTTTTATTAAATTTATAATTTTTGTTAATTTTCAGGTAAATGGCACATGGAAAGCTGCTCACGGATTATGAGAAAGGCCAGATTGATGCCCGTTTGAGCATTGGCGACTCAATAAGGAAAATCGCAAAAAATTTGGGCCGATCCGACTCTGCCATACGAAATTATATAAAGTCCGAGTTCGTTTCTACACCAAAGAAGAAGCCAGGACCAAAACCAAAGCTTACACCGCGAGCTAGACGCCATATTATGAACAACATCCAAGGAAAAACGATCAATGAAGTGAAAACGGAACGGAAAATCGACTCTTCGAAGTCGAAAATTTGGCGAGCCATCAAGGAAAAACGCACATATCGATCAACAATTATTGAACATCCAACCGACCGTGAAGCTTTTGCACAAGAAAGCCCGATTGGCCTTCGCCAAGACTCATATGAATCAAAATTGGTCTATGGTTGGAAATCCGCTTATGTTTTATTATTTTTTTGCGTTTAGGTGATCTTTTCCGATAAGAAGAAATGGAATTTGGATGGCCCCGATGGCGTTGGCTACTATTGGAGGGATCTTCGACGTGATCCGATGGTGTTTGGAACTCGAAACTTTGGCGGTGGTTCTGTGATGGTTTGGGCCGCCTTTTTTGCTGATGGAACGGTCGCTCTGAAGATGGTTTCGAATCGGATGACTAGATAGATATCTTGAACAATTGCTTGTTGCCATTTTGGCTCCTAAATCCAACCGTTCCCGATTTGTTTCAACACGACAACGCGTCAATTCATCGAGCCGGAGACACACTGAACTGGCTGAACAGCAACAACATTGCAACTTTGGACTGATCCGCTCAGTCTCCTGACCTCAATCCGATAGAAAATTTATGGGGAATACTTGTCCGAGCTGTCTACAAGAATCAGCGTCAGTTTCAAGACGTTTCTGCACTTAAAGCAGCAATTTTTTCGGCCTGGAGCGATCTCGACGTCTCTGCTCTTCAAAACCTCATCAATTCAATGTCAGACCGCATTTTTCAAGTAATTAATCGTTCTGGTGCGTGTACAGATCATTAGTTTTGATTTTTTACCTTTGATTTTTAATTTTTGTCGATAAATAAAAATATTTTCATAGTACGTTTAAGAATTTGAAACGGTTGATTTAGCAAAAAGTTTCTATTTTGAAAATTTTTACTTTTTACAGTATGCTTCTTTTTCGTGTTATTTAGGTTTTAAGACATGCTCTTTCTAATAGAAAAAGATTAATAGTTGTAGCGGTGGTCAAAATGCAAAATCCGCTATTTTAGAGGGTGCGTTTAAGAATTTGAAACGCACTGTATTATGTTTTATATATCATATATTATTATATTGACAGCAAAAGCGCTCACTAACGTTCTCGTTTTCCACGCAATCTAAGTCCCGCCCCTTTTTGCGGGCAAACAGACGGACAGACAAACGTCTCTTCTGCTTTATATAGAGTAGATAAGAGTTGAACAATGATTTTTGGTGCATTTAATTCTTCCAAAACTTTACAACTACCCGACTGGCCTCAAATCAGTTTCTTTTGATCGATTCCCGCTTTCCCGTTCACTTATCAATCCCAACCATTTCTAATTTCGTTTTATTACTTTGTGATTGCCTAAAAAAGACTGGGGAATGTTTGTGCTTCCTTTGGCGTGAATTTAACGACTTTTTAAACAAAATCAGATTTTTTGGGGGAAATTTGGGACGCCCACGTCTAGAATTCATTCCACCCATGATCGAAATTGATTCGAATTTCTGACGAATTCGTATTCTTTTTCTAAATTTTAGCACTAAATTTTCTGAGATTTTGTTTATTGTGCTGAAATGTTGCGAAAGTTGTTTGAAGATGATGAGGATAAGGAATCAATCGAGCTAAAAGCACTACAAAAATGTCAACTAATTATTTCGTTATTGTTTTATCATTTAAAAACCTATCATATGCCATGGTTTTTATTATATTTATATAGAATTTAAGAAAAATTAGTTTTTATTTAGGACTTTGTCTCAAAAAGAGACAAAAAGAAGCTCAAAAGTCACCCCATTAAGGCGTATCCCCAGCTCTGACCTCAAAGATGAGTTCAATGCACTCAAAAATGTTGAGAGCTAATAAATTTTCTAGATAATGGCTATGGATTGAATGAATAGGATTTGGGTACATTGTACTTAAAATTCAAAGATATGAAGACTTTCAATGAGAAATTTCAGTGCATATTATGAACAGTGGTTCTCCGTCGTTGGATCTCGAGGCAAATAACAATCCGGTATCGAGAAGGGACACTATTCGACTCACTGGTTGGTCTTTTTTGATAAAAATCTTAAAAAGCTCTAAATGATTACTGTATTTGGTCAGAAAAAGTTCAAATTTTCATTAAAAAAAGTCGAAAAAGTCGATTTTTAGACATTTGATCCTTAAGGGTTACTCCCATTGATTCTGTTTTATTTTGAGACTATTTTCTATTGTTTTGATTAAAGCTAGCTTTTGTAAGGAATTAAGTAGTTTAGCCAAACCCTAAGTGAGACTTTTAGATCTAAAACTTCAATATAAATGTGAAAATTTGCATACTAAACTCTAGACTACGAGCGTGAGTATAAACGACGCCGCTTTGCCGTTTACAATTTCCTCGACCATCCCCGATCGGCTTCAAATTTCCCATATCATTTCAGTAAGTTGACAAGAATCTAATAAACATATAAATCTATAAAATTTTCAAGAATTAAACGAAAAACAGAAATCTTTAGGTATTTTCGTGTTTGTTTTGATCTCTGTTATTGTTGGTGCTTTAGCTGATGCAAGTCCGGATGATAAAACTGTGAGTTGAAATAAAAGCCAATCAATTAGGCCAGAATCTATTCTAAAACTGGGAATTTTCGATGACCGTGCAACTTAAGCAATATTGCAATCGGTGTGCAACTGAAAAATAGCATATCTCGGTCAATTTCACTCGGATCTTTTTGATTTTAATATCAATTGATGCAGAATTGAATTTTCTATCGATTGAAATCAAAGATAAAAAGATTGAAGGGAAATTGGCCAAACAATGGCATTTTTCCGTTGGATACCTATTGATGTTCACACCGAAAACTCGAAAACTAATATATTTCGTTTTAGAAACCTTTTCCAATCTCTTGGTAAGTAAGTGTTGTCAAGTGGTGTTCAAAATCAATTAATTTTGCATTAAAAAAAGCCCTTTTTTTAGTTCTACAATGTCAATTTCATTATGGAAGTGGTGCTGGCCATCTTTTTCATTCTCGAGTTCGCGATCAGAATCTGGTCAATTGGTGCTGATGCGAAATATAAAGGATTTAGAGGTAGCATAGCCGATTTTGCGTACAATTGTTAGATGTTGAAAGCTTTATTCTTATTTATCCTTTGTACAATTCCCTTTAAACTAAACTTGTAACGAAAAAAATCTGTCGGTTCTTTTTTGCCGTGTTTTTTGTGTTTTTCTCAGGACCAACCCTTCGATTTTGACTATCATTCGATGCAGAATATAATTGCGCATCGAATGATACCAAAATTAGCTCAAAATGTAATATCCATGCAAAGTTGTTGGCTAAAAACCCAAACCCCGCTCGTTATGGGTGAGACTTGATCTTTTGTTGGAGAACATACAAAAGGAGTTGTAAAACATAAAATAGTTTCCTGGTCAAGTCAAGGCTTACAAGTCAAGCCTAGAGCCTGGAAACTGTCAAGTATTGACCTGTTTTGTACTAGACTTTTGACAAAAACATTTGTCGGTCCTTTTTATCGTTGGCAATTTAAGGTTTTTCGTGTTTTTCTCAGCACAAATCTTGCGATTTTGATTATCATTCGATGCAGAATAAAATTGCGCATCGAATGATACTAAAATTAGCTCAAAATATAATATCCACGCAAAGTTGTTGGCTACAAACCTAAACCCGCTCATTATGGGCGGGACTTAACGTTTTGCCGTTGCCAATTTAAGGTTTTCGTGTTTTTCTCAGCACCAACTCTTCGATTTTGATTATCAATCGATGCAGAATTAAATTGCGCATCGAATGATATCAAAACCAACTCAAAATATAATATCCACGCAAAGTTATAAGACAAAAGGCTAAGTATAACGAGTGGGGTTTAGGTTTTTAAGCCAACAACTTTGCATGGATATTACATTTTGAGCTAATTTTAGTATCATTCGATGCGCAATTTTATTCTGCATCAAATGATAATCAAAATAGACAAAATCAAAGGGGTTGTGCTGAGAAAAACCTTAAATTGTCGCGGGAAAAAAGTCAGAATTGCCAAGAGTAGATGTTTTTGTTACAAATCTAGTTTAAACTCAGGTTTTCTCTATTACGCTTGTCGTCTTGTCTGCATGATTGATATGCTTATTATTTTGGTCACTTTTGGAATGCTCTTCATCGACAGAGAGAAGAATCGGTTTGGTAAACGAGTTGGTGAGAATTGAAAGATTTAAGTGGTGTCCTTCTTGACGTGTTGCGTTTTGTACAAATTCTCCGACTTTTCCATATCGATCGACAAATGACTACATGGAATATGATCAGAAAGATGACATTGAGAAGCTTGTAAGTGAAAAGAGCTCAAGAATGATGAAAAGTGTTCAAGAATCAGGCAATCTTACTAGAGTTCTAAAGTTAATTCAGATTCGAGCTCACAGCAGCTTACTACATTTGCTCATTGCTATTTATGGTGATGTCGTTATCCGTTTATGAGATGGAATCACTTTTCGATCGGAATCACAACGCAAAAGTGAAAAATGAGACAGAAGCAAGTTGGAGTAAAAGGTTTTCAAAAAAAATCTTGTGAAATTTTAGTTGATTCAACTTTTAACAACTACGGAGATGCAATGTGGTTTACGATTGTCTCTTTCTTGACTATTGGGTAAGTAAACCAGGGTAAAGAATCAGCTAAAAGTATGGTAAAGTTGCAATTACATGGCTACAATAAGGCTTAATCAATAAGGCTTCTTGAAGTTAAAATATTCATCCTAAAGCTTACTGTAATGGATAGCTTAGTAAGCTCCATTACAGTAAGCTTACCTAAAGCTTACTGTAATGGATAGAAGGATTGAAATTTGTGTACTTTGAACTAATCTAATAAAATTGTTGAAAATTTCTAAATTTTCTTAAAAATTACCATTCTCAGTTATGGTGATATTGTCCCCAAGCACTGGCCATCAAAAGTGATTACGTGTGTGCTCGCGTATGCCATTTATTGCACCTTTATCGCTGCCTCGACTTTGGTCTCGGGTGAGTGAAGGGAAAAAAGAAAGGAGAAAAAATAGCAACAAGATCATTTGAAGTTTGTTGGATAGTGGGAAAGATTTCATAAGGGAAACGAGGTCACAATGAACTTTAGCAGAAACTTCGGTGTTACTGCAATTTTTATATAAATTGCATACGTGAATCTAAAAGTGTTACTACTTACAAAGGAAGGTCAATTGGTTGAGCAGGCGAAATCCTATGCGACCTATACCATTCGACGCAGAATTTTATACTGGTTCCGAATATATATTCCGTTTTAACTAAATGACTATTTGTCAGAAGTCATAAGCGTCTAAGGTTTTGTTAGGGCTCTGAAAATATGGTCATTTGGGTTTTAGCGGCCTTTTTGCAGAGGGTTTTTAGTGCAACTAGACCAAATAGTACAGCGTACGTTTCCAGAGCGAGACCACGCAAATTCGGTCCCGGTTCGATTAGATTTTTCTCTTGCTTTTTATCAAAAAGTGTTGATTAGTGTTCTTTAGACTTTAGACCCTTATAACTCCTGATAGATTGTCATTTAGCAAAAACGGGATATATATTCGGAATCAGCATAAAATTCTGCGTCGAATGGTATAGATCGCATAGCATTTCACCGGTTCAGCCAGTCATATTGAGAGATCTTGTTGGTCATAAGATCCACCGTAGTCACTTATGACCTTGTAAATATATTAATCAGAGGAATTACTGTAGCCATTACTGTAGCCATTACTGTAGCCATTACGTTAATTAAGGAGAACGAGCAAAATCTGAAGGAAAAGTTACGGTAGTACTTTAAATTACCTCTTACAAAAGCACCAATAGCTTGTCATTTTCAGTCGGAATGACGTTGATGATGGAAAGTGAGACAAAAGACAAGCAATACTCGAAAGTGAGAGGAGCTGCCGCGGAAGTGATTCAACATTGGTAACTTTTTGTGATTAATGCTTCAAGCTCTTTTGGTAGGTTCCGCTATCATCTTGCCACAAATCGGAAACAGACATGGAACACGATTCCATATTTCAAGTGAGTTTTAGTGCTTGGAACCAAAAAAAGCTAGCAAAAAAGACTAAAAGCTTGAAACTTTTACATTGTAGGCATGTGTGCTTTAAATTGTATCTGGCTGATGGAAAGATTAAAAAGACAAGAGAGTACACAAAGAAGATCAAGGAAAAATATGGAAAGAATACGGAAAAGTGAGTTGAAAACGTATCTAGCCAGATCATGAAAGCCTTGCAGTAAACAATAATTCTACTCTTTTAAAGCAATTAGCACAGACTCTAAAGGCTGTAGGAATTAGGGTTTTCAATCTAAACTTCACTTTCAGAAAACCGGAGAATAAAGACAAGAAACTATTGCGATACACCTCGTTGATCACACAATTGACAATGGATGACTACTACAATGATCCAAATGCAAAGCCGACTCCTGTCAAGAGAGATTCTCTACTGTCAAAGGTTTGATGAATTCAAAAATTATATCTAAAAGCTTTAGGCAATGTCTCTACAAAGATTCTCGATTATCCCAAGGACTTTTGTAAGAGATTTTTTGGAAATGAAGATTTTCTGGTTTAGAGCGCTCAAAGTATGGACGAGCCGGATCGGCGAGGGTTCAAGAAAGAGGTGGCAGTGGGTTTTGGATAAACTTAGATGAAGGATAAGAGTAATGGTTCTTGTTTATAAAAGTAATGGTAATGTTAATGTTAATGTTAATGTTAATGTTAATGGTAATGTTAATGTTAATGGTAATGGTAATGGTAATGTTAATGTTAATGTTAATGGTAATGTTAATGGTAATGGTAATGGTAATGGTAATGGTAATGTTAATGGTTCAAAAATAATGGTGAATCTTTTGGTACAGTACTGGACAATGAAATATCATATTTGAAAAACGATCGTCACTTTCGCACGTCTGTAACTCCATTGTCTTTGAGTTTAAATTATTAGTGTTATACATTTTCTGAAAGCTCTTTTCAAGGGCTACACAATGGTAATATTAATATTTAGAAATACTGTAAAGACAAGGGAGTTACAGACGCGCGAAAGTGACGATCTTTTTTCAAATATGATATTTCATTGTCCAGTAGTGTAAATCCTTTGAAACCTTTTCTTATAAAGTATTCTTATCAAAGAATTGTACTCAATTCTTATTCAGATAAGTAAGTAAGCTTTAGAGAATCACTTTTAACAAATTTTTCATTCTATTTTGGATTAACCAAATATTGTATTTCTGGTAAAACTGGTAAACAGAATTTGGGTCAGAAAATGAAGCAGAAGGGCTTTTAAATAAGGATTTTTTTGCATTGTAAATGATAAAAAAGAAGAAATTTAGCTGTAAATTTGTACAAAAATTATACAGCTGCCAATTTACTTTAATTTCATTTAAATTGAATACACCGGCCTGCCGATAATTTAGTTCTAATGAGAATCGGTTCTTATTCTGATCTCTTCTTTAAAGTCTCCTTTAAAGCAAAATGGTCTTCTTAGATGCCAAAGTACTGATAGAACTTAAAAATACAAAAAGTTCAATGCATTTAATGCAATCAGTGCAGATAATTTTGCTAAATTATAAACAACTTTAGGCAAAACGGGCATCAAGACTTGAGAAAACCTCTCCTTCATCCTCAATCTCTTCCTCATTCGATGGCAACGATTTAGACAAAGAAGTTGATATTCAAGTGAGTCAAAATGTCTTGTTACTGTATTTAATCTTTCAGATGCTCTATGAGAATACCTCTTTTGACAGCAAACGGACTAGTTACGATATAAATGGTGGTTTTCTTTAGAACGGATTACTCTAATAGTAGTGCACTTCGTCTAGCCGAGTTGATGCGTATTTTACGGTTTCCAAGCTTTTGCAGAAGCTCAACACTCTAATCCCCAGCTAGATCTCATCGTCAGCTACATTTTCCGACCCCACATCGATAGGTTCTGGTAAGCGGCCCTCGAGATTTCGAGCAATTGAAGCGACGCTCAGGGTGCAGTAGTATTAGAGAGAATACGCTAGATTCGGAATAAAATTCTGCGTCGAATGGTATAGGTCACATACCATTTGGCCGGTTCAGCCAGTTGACCTTCCCTTGTAATACATACTTAAGTCTAGCTCCTTTAAGACTGGCTCTTGCATTCTACAATTTAATGCTAGTTAATAACAATAAGATTAGCTCCAACTCTTGATATAAATACCGTATTCTCTCTAATAGTAATGCACCCTGGCGAGCCGAGTTGATGCCTATTTTACGGTTTCCAAGCTTTTGCAGAAGCTCAACACTCAAATCCCCCGCTAGATCTCATCGTCAGCTACATTTTCCGACCCACATCGATAGGTTCTGATAAGTGGTTCTCGAGGTTTCGAGCAATTTAGGGGACGCTTTGGGTGCACTACTATTAGAGAAAACTAGTGTTTAGTAACTAGTGTTTAGCCATTGATGAGGAGGTTCTTCGAAAGTATCGTCCTCTCATTCGTTTCTTCAACTATCTTCTTTTTCTCCGATGCATGCGGAAATTTAAGAGGTGGATAGCATACAAAGAATTAGACTAAAACTGATTGAGACTTCAGATTGAGAAAACCGTATCAACTGCTTGATGCCGAGACGGAGCTTTGTGAGATGGAGCACAACAGGAATCAACTGTTTCATGATGTAAGTCAATTTAAGTGTTTCATGATGTCGATTTAAGTCAATTTAAGTATTTCATGATGTCGATTTAAGTCAATTTAAGTATTTCATGATGTAAGTCAATTTAAAAGCCAACGAATTAGCTAGAAAAATAGAAATAATATATTATGATAGTTGAACGTTTAATGATAAAGGTAGAATGGATGAATTATCAAAGTCTGACAAGTTTCAGCTCGAAATTAAATTGGAGGCAACGATTGGAAAGCCCAGTCCTTCACCGTTTCACCATAACGAGGGTATGTGCTGATGGAAAAAGGTCTTGTTATAGATTGGATGATATTTTATTAGATTTAGATTTAGATTTTAGATGTAATTGTTAGTAAAGGTTCTCATTTTCAGATAAATTCCAAGATTTAAGATTATTTTAGGTAAGTTATCAATCGAGAAACGGCTGCAAGCTGTGGAGCAGCACACAGAGGATATGGACGGAAAAGTGCAAGAGATCATCCGATTGGCTGAGGCAATTGCTGAGATTGTTGGGTGCGATCAGTTGAACAAGACCGTTCGAGTGAGACCATGTGATTTTTGGGGAAAAATTTCAAGCAATAGAGTTTAGAAGTCTAAAAATTCTCAGTCTACTTTCGAAGCGATAGTTCTTTTGAGCAGTAGCATACAATTTTATTAGTATGGATAGTCAAGAAAAGCATAACTAAACTAGGATAAGCTATGTCTAAGCTTATAAATCTAAATCACATGATCACACTCAAATCCCATTCCCTTGTGCTTGTAGACCGAACGTGCTACCGTCCAAACGATCACCCGGGAAACAAAGCGAAAAATAGAGGAGCTGGGAATGGATCCAATGCAGCTACTGGTCGAGAAATTTGGGAGAAATCTAAAAGCAAGACGAGAGAAACAAAGGAGGAGAGAGGAAGCGGTGATTGAAGAAGCTGGAGAGATGCCCGATGAATATTGTCATACTTTACCCAAAATTTCTGTTTGTCAACGTAAAAGTATCGTTAATCAAGGGGTTTTCATTCCTCCTAATGATTTGGAGATTAATGAGCAGTAGTTGCAATTTATTAGTAGAAATTTGCTTTGAGAGTACAGTAACCATTCACTTTTCTCATTACAGTATGCCGGATTGAAGATATAATAATAAAGTAAAGCAAGGAATGGCAAAGAAAGATTTCGGGAGAGGGGATTGAACTCTCAACCTTTTTGCTGATGCTCTAACCACTATCCGGTATCTTCTTGCCAGAGAAGAAAGAAGAAATCTAAGTGGAAAGAGAAAGGAAGAAAGAGAAGGAAGAAAGAGAAGGAAGGAAGAGAAGGAAGAAAGAGAAGAAAGTTCAGTTCTAAGTTCATCATCTCTGATGCACTCTGGTATACTGTAACTGGTTCTATTATCGTTACACTGTAGTGATATATGATTGTGAACATACTGTAATTCACTTACCATAGTGTGCATACTGTAATAGTTTACTGTAGTAGGCAGACTGTAATTTGTTTTCTGTAGTAAATGTACTGTAAAGTAAAGTAATAAGATAAAGTAACAGTTACAATCTGGGATATTGTACTATAAAGACTATAAAGACACGCAAAAGTACTATTAACATCCACTGTAAAGTGTAAAGTGTATTATAAAGGTCTACAGGCTCTCAACTTTGGAAGGCTATATAAAAAAGTTAAAAGCTTAAATCGATTAGATAATTAGTAGCGTTCCAGGAGCAATTCCTTATCTCCAAAAAATCAAAACGATTGACCCAATTTTGGCCAATCTAGGTGCTATAATTGTTGGCCACACTGTTTTTGTCCTATGAATTTGATTTGAATTTGATACTGTAAAGGATAAATAGTAATAGACATACTTAATAGACTTACTTAATAGACTACTGTAATGAGTAACTATGCTGAAAAAACTAACAGGTATACTGTAATGAGTAAACCGTAATTCGTTGTACTGTAGTGGGCAAACTGTCCTACTGTAATGAAGGCACTGGAGTCTATAAATTATCATAAATAAACTGTAAATATATAAATAAATACAAGATTAATAAATTGTAATAGCTATTCACAATGTGCCTTACTGTAAAACTGTGCTTTGTTTTGCCTTAGAAAGCCTTTTTCCCATTTTCCCTTTAGAAAGCCTTTTTCCTCATTTTGTCAGCTTTAAACTCTCAGCGTTGCACTCAAAACTGTTGACATAATATGCCCATTTTTCATCATATATCCCTTGATCCATGCCTTTGTTTTAAAATCATCAGCTCAAAAATATCAAATTTTCCTTGTCTGGTCTTTTATCACCACCTGTTGTTGATCCACTTTGTGCTTATCACTGCCTATTTCTTGTTAATCCACTTTGTGCTTATCTCTGCCTATTTCTTGTTGATCCACTTTGTGCTTATCTCGTGTACTGCCCATTTTCTCAAAAGCCTAACTCAATTTCTGTATTTCTTAAGAATATCCCATTTCTAGCCTCCAAGAGCACAAAATCTCGGAGGTCGTGCAAAACGCGAAACCAGATCGACGAAAGAAAACTTTGCGGCGACAAAATACACTCGCCGAAATCGAGTGGCATCAATGATTTTTGTTATTGTGTTTACGCCATTGTTGTAAATTACATAGTATAATAAATCTGACCGGAACTTTCGTGAACCATCCATGATAGTCAAAAACGGAGTCTCTTTCCTTGAAGTAGAAGCCCAGCCAGTTGTTCGCCCGAATCACATTGTTTCCTTGAGTCTCGCCGACAAAGAATGATTCGAAGCCTAAATTTAATTTATCTCATTCCTAAAAAAACCGATAAACTCAATATTCTTAACGTTCTTGTCAATTCCCCACCTGAACTTCCCACAGCCGAATTCCTGGCGAAAGGAGTGAACCAGATCTTGTTAAGCTGTTGGATGAAAGTCGAGACATCGGATACAATACCTGGATTTTTGTAAGCATAATAACTATTTGCAAGCCAAAGAATGATACTCTAGACATAGATCGATCAGATTTCCCCTGGCACAAGTTTATTCTACTCTATAAAACGAAAATCTCGTTAAGATCGAAGTTCTCGATCTTACTAGTTTGCAAAAATCATTTGTCTTTTTACCATTATCCCTCAAGAAGTTGAAGCTTTGCGTGAAGACTTGAGTTTTTTGAATCGCCGTGAAGAAATTGCCGATGGCTGAGGTTCGAGCTGACGTCATCGGATCATCCACATCGACACTCGGAGTTGTGAAAGTCGCCTGCAAAATTCAATTAAGTTACCTACCGTAAATACTGTAATTGGACCCCACCCCATAATAACGGTGCGGAGTGTTATGTAGTCTAGCTTTAAACGAGTTTTTCTCGACACTGGTTTATGCTACAATGCGCGCTTAGGTATCAAAAAAATAGCTGAAATTCAGGGCTATTTTTTTGATTTAACAGCAAAACGAGATTTAACAAGCAAAACGGGGTATTTAAATACAAATTTCCCTTTCTTTGCCAATCATTTCAAAATATTCAGCTAATCAATTGAATTGAATCACTGAATACCTGAAAAACAAAGCAATTCGGATTTAAAAGCTCTATGGATTTTCAAATCGCATATAAAAGCTAATTTTTCTTGAAAACAACAGCGGTAACGTTATTTTCTAATGCCAGCTTCGTGATTAGGGGAAAATACGTTTATTAAAGACCATAAAAACAGATTCAAATACATACCGTAAATACTGTAATAGTACCCCACCCCTATAATGACGGTGCGGAGTGTTGCGTAGTCTAGCTTTGAACGAGTTTTCCTCGACACTGGTTTATGCTACAATGCGCACTTAGGTATCAAAAAATAGCCCTGAATTTCAGCTATTTTTTGATACCAAAGACGCATTTTTTGAAAGTACGGGCGCTTTGAAAAAAATGAAATACTAAAAAACTTTTGCGACTACGCGACTGTACGAGGGGAGTGGGGTGCTATTACAGTATTTACGGTAACTAAGTAATACACAAGCAGGCAGCAATTCGAATAACTCACCACCAACGATTGAAAAGCGCTGTACGTCACACGATTCAAAAGAGCTGAATCAACTGTGGTAAACAATCTGAAAAATGTCAATCTTTTGGTGAATTCAAAAATTTTACGGATTCTGAGCATTATCATGATCAGGGTTCTTCTTCGAGGCCATATTCTAAGAATTTGTAAGTTTAAAATCGAAATTCAAAGTTTTAAACCTGAAAATTGAGTACTACTTGAGCATTTGTGGCCCGATTTTCATCGGTTGAGAAAATCGACGTCAAGACCGATTTCACGTCAACATCAAGATTGTCAGAGGTTTGGGGTCTTGCTGAAATTGGCCAGGTTTAGAATTGATAAAGTTTTTGATCTTTTAAGCAGCTGTTAGCTCTTTCCAAAAGCATTAGTGCTTTTGGTACTTCTTTCTTTGTACAGGGTGACCAGAAAAGATCCGTCTTTTTTTCTAGGCTCATATTTCTATTATTTGTAGACCAAAAAGATTAATTTCTTTTTTAAATGGAAATCACATCATTTTCTGTATATTTTAAAGATTTCATAACTATAGGATTGATGGATTATGTTTTATGTACGCTGAAAAATGGCTCGTTACTTTTTTTGAGCTATTTTTTTGAACGTTCATAAAAAATTATCTATTGGTGTCCGTTTATCAAAAAATTTGGGCAGAATTGATGGTTTAGTTTTTGAGAAATCACTGTGCAAACTTTTTCCAAGAACTTTCTTTCCAACCTAATAGAAATATGAGCCTAAGAACGGACGATTAGGACGATTTATTTTCGGTTACCCTGTATTTTGCGGTCGAAAAGGTAATCACACCCGATCTGGCGCACTGAATCCTTAATGTTTGAGGATTACAAAGAGAAAAGTAATATTGTAAAATAATAAGATTAAAAGTAGCTTAATTTCTAGTGAAATAGTTGAGCCTCATAGCTTAGATTCTACTTGCACTTTGTGGACAAACGTTGAATCGCACCGAATTCTTTACGTTATGATGAGGCCGATTGTCTCAAAGAAACACAAGAAAGGTAGTGCACGATAGCGTGCCAGAAAGGGTGTGTTTGTTCAGCACAAAGTACACTAGCTAATAGCTTTAAGATAAAGGCAAGCCTTAGTTATGACTTCGATAATCACCTCCACAGCTTTGAATCACTAGCAAATAGCTTTAAGATAAAGGCAAGCCTTAGTTATGACTTCGATAATCACCTCCACAGCTTTGGATCACTAACACCAACACCAGCACCGACGAGAATCTCAATTCCATCATTATCTTGATCTAATTCTCCTGAATCTAAATCAAAAAATTTGTTTTTTCGGGAAAAGTGAATTGTTTCGAAAATGCGAAAACGGGTGTCGCAAGTTCGGCGAAAAAATTGCTGAAATTAGGTGCCAAATTTTTAGGAGAAAAGTGATAAGTTATCAGCTTTGCCGCTAGCTCCGGCCATGTGTCTTTGAAAAACGATTGAACTCCTAAATTGGGGGAAGGCGTGGAAAAGAATGGAATTGAAAGGGACAAAATTTGGGGACGTCATGAAAGAAAAATTTATTGTTCGAGACGAAAGCACTGAATCAGCAGTGAATGTCTGATGTTTGCTTCGACTTTTTCATGGACATTTGCTGATCGACTTGCGAAAGTTCAAAGTATTGTCTATCTATGGGATTTGAATAAATCAAAGTCTTTAAATTCAATGATCTTGTTTGCATTTTTCTGATTCAAAACCTTATCACGAGGCTTGGTCAGAGCGCCGGCAAAATATTTTCTGCAAAACGCAATCTTGGTGGGGTAACTTGGTGGGGTTTTAAGAAAAATGGAACAAAATTTGGTTTGGAACTTTGGAAACTGTAAAATTTAAGATCAATTCAAAGAGATATTTGAATTTACATGAATCCTATTGAACCAAATTTCAATAAAACCAAAAATAGGTAAATCAATCAAGTAACTTATTTGAATGATAAAACTAAATGACAATGACACCCAGTGATTTTCGTATCAGCTTTAATCACCCATTCTCCTAAAATTTAGCAATGTCCCAAGACGCTTTTTGACTTCCCATCTCTGTACGATTTTTCAAAACTACAAAAATTATCAATTCTGCTTGTAGAAGAATGTAGCACGTAGCAAAGAATTATCAGTCTTGCATGTTTGCTTGTATTTTGGTATACAGGGTGCGTCAAAATTATTGACCGTTTCTATAATTCTTGCAATTTTCCTGAAATCTTGTCCATGAAGATAAATTTCATTGTAAACCAATGAAAATAGTCCACAAAAACAACAAAAAAGTTCATCAAACTCGGTTTGGCCTTCCTTTGCTCGGATGCACTCGTGAAAACTACCGTAAAAGCGGTAATAGTAGCCCCTATTCAATAGTAGTCCCCCTAGAGGGCCAACGAAAAATAATGACCCCCCCCTCTAATAGTGAGCCCCTAGAGGGCCATAATAGAGGGCGAAAAACCTAGAAAAACCCCTAGAGGGCGAAAAAATAATACCCCAGGGGCTACTATTACAGCTTTTACGGTTACGGTACTTGGAAAAAAATCTTTAATCTGCGCCGCAGGCAATCTTCATCAAAATCGCCTCAATCTTTTGATTAAAGCTGATACGAAAATCACTTCAAATCTTTATTTCAGTGATATCTTAATAGTTATTTGTTTTAATTTAACAAAATAAGGCTTTTGAAGAGGCTAGAAAAAAAGGTCATCTTTGGCTTAATTTTGGAAAACATTCAAATTTTAGGGCCAATCCATGCGTCTTCCATTAGGATGGAGCGACCGCTCATACCGCTTGGATTTTGTAACCCTGATGGGCAATTTGTTCAATTCAATACCGCTTGGATTGTGCAACTCTGGTGGGCAATTTGTTCAATTCAATACCGCTTGGATTTTGTAACCCTGATGGGCAATTTGTTCAATTCAATACCGCTTGGATTTTGTAACCCTGATGGGCAATTTGTTCAATTCAATACCGCTTGGATTTTGTAACCCTGATGGGCAATTTGTTCAATTCAATACCGCTTGGATTGTGCAACTCTGGTGGGCAATTTGTTCAATTCAATACCGCTTGGATTTTGCAACCCTGATGGGCAATTTGGTCAATTTTCTAGCCTCTTCAGGAACCTTATTTTGTTAAATTAAAACAAAGAACTATTAAAATATCACTGAAATAAAGATTTGGAGTGATTTTCATATCAGCTTAAATCGAAAGATTGAGGCGATTTTGATAAAGATTGCCTGCGGCGCAGATTAAAGATTTTTTCTAGGTAGTCTTTACGAGTGCATTCAAGCAAAACAAGGCCAAACTGAGTTTTATTAACTTTGTATTTGTTTTTATGGATTATTTTGATTATTTTACAATGAAATTTATCAATGAAATCTTCGTGGACAAGTTTTCAACAAAATTACAAGGCTTCAAAGCGGTCTTGACGTCGATTTTCTCAACCGATGAAAATCGAGCCACAGATGCTCAAGTAGTACTCAATTTTCAGGTTTAAAACTTTGAATTTCAATTTTAAACTTACAAATTCTTAGCAAATGGCCTCGAAGAAGAACCCTGATCAGAGCGCGGTCAATAATTTTCACTCATCCTTTAATGAGATCAAAAACAAAGGAAACACTTTTTGAGAGCAGGCAGATTTTGTTTTTCTTGCAGATTCTGCAACAGATTAAGCAGCTAGATAAAGTGTAATTTGGTAATTTTAAAAGCATTTATAAAAATTGAGAAAGTTTATGAAATCTAACTTGAACTGGAACCTTACTGGAAAGCTGATTTTAAAGTGATGATGTTTAAACCAAGCTTGTAAGCATTTTTTTTTATCTTTTTTAAATCGTATTGACTGCTTTCATTCACCATAGGTTTTACTTTTTGTAAAAAGTCTTACCAGTACACAATTTTCTCTGATAAGGGAGAAAAGCTCTTTCTCTGATAATTCCTCAGCCTTTTCGCTCATATTATTACGATTAAAACTACAATCACATCACAACTACACAACAATCCCCTCCACATCTCTCATACATAGCTCAATAAGAATGGTTATTCAAGGTTTGAGTCTTTTCAATTTTTACTACAACTATCAAGTCTTTAAAATCATTCTAGCTTTGCAAATATTATGCCAAAATTTGGGAGTGAGACAAATGCGACCTTTTTTTGCGCACCCGGACATTTGCGCACCTTTTTTTCCGCACCTTGCCCATTAGCGCACCTTTTTTCGCGTTTTAAAAAAGCTCTAAACAGCTAATATTAACCAATTTCTATTCCAAAAGTTGTTTTTCTAGGTAATTTTAGGGCGTAGAATCGAAATTTTGACATGTCAGAGCTTGTGGAAACAAACGGACGGAGTTATACAAAGAGAAAGATTGACAATTTAATTTTATCTAACCGTTTTGTCTTTCAAATTGGTTCCACAAGCTTTGTTATGTCAAAATTTGAAATCGACACCCTCAATTTACCTCAATTTACCTAGAAAAACAACTTTTGGAATCGAAATTGGTTAATATTAGCTTTTTAGAGCTTTTTTAACGCGAAAAAAGGTGCGCTAATGGGCAAGGTGCGGAAAAAAGGTGCGCAAATGTCCGGGTGCGCAAAAAAAAGGTCGCATTTGTCCCACTCCCCAAAATTTAGATGAAATGCTAGATGTGCTTGATGTTTTATCCGTGAACTCGGAGAGTCCGCAAGTTGGGAGGAAAGGAAGTGTTGGGGTGAGTTTTTAGATGTTATCTGTTAAACAATTGAAAAAGCGCAAAAAAAATTAATATATTTATAATAATGGCTATCATTTTTTGTTAAAAACAACCGGCTTTCTAGAATGAAAGATTTCAGAATCGAAGCTCGAAACTCCCGGCACCGCCAGCTCATGAGTCGACGCTGGAGAGATTGTGCAAGTAAGAAATATGGCATAAAAGTAGATAAAAGTTGCAATAACAATACAATAGCTGCAATTGCTTAACATAAAAGATAATTTAATCTAATTGTAAGTGTAAAACTACACTCTGTAAAAAAAAACTATGAAATCACACGTTCATTGCAAATATTAGGTTGATGCAAAAGTCTTTTTCATTTTTTTCGTACTTCCGTTAAAAAGTAACAAATGCACCAATTGAACAACGGTTTATTGCATTCGAAAGGCCAATTATTTTTCTGCAAAATGACATTAAAACGAGTTTAAAATGTCTTATGTCTAGATTTTTTTGAGAGCCTGAAGTCGGGTAGTCAAAAAAGGCGACGGCTCGATGATGCATTTTAGACGCTTTAGCTAAGGAAACCAATCTTGATGTTAATAAATAAAAGATAGAGCACAAAAAGTTAGATATTTTTTCAGATTTTCAGAGAAATTGATTCAGCCAATTTCTTTATAGAGGTTTTTATAGATTTTTATGAAAAACCCGTTTTCACTCTCGAATTTGCTTGAAAGTGAACCCAAATTGACTTAAAAAGATGGGAAATTGAACAATAAACACTTTTCATTTAGAGCAAACCATAGGTTAATTGATGACTTTGTTATTTTTCAAAAGAAGTACGAAAAAAATGAAAAAGACTTTTGCATCAACCTAATATTTTTTTGCTTCAGCCGCTAGGTTTTGTACTTTGTGTTCTCATAAACGCAAGCTTTTGGCACACGTGAACGAATAGTTTTTCTTGTTTCCCATATGAGTTTATATGAAAATGACGAATCTATGACGAAAGACAAAGCCAGAAAGTGTGCATTGCTAAGAGCAAAAAGTACAGGTGAAATTTTTCCACTGCAGTACAGCTTACCAAGACAATCAGCACTTGATAATGAATTCAGTAACTCAAAATTTAAATACTAACATTTACCCCAAAACTTTTGTAAATATTGGGTCGAGCATCACAAGTCATTGAGAAGCCGATCTTTTATCTGAAAATATAAACAATGACAATACTTCAGAAATAATTTCAAAAATAAAATATCAAGAGAAAATGACTTCTCGTACAAGCATTCCCATATAATCAATGCCCTCAATCAATCAATCAATTCAGGATCAATGCCCGGGTGATTCGCTCAATCAATCTTAACTCAGCACCCGCATCTTCTCTCCTGGTGCCCGAATATGAAGTACTTGTTGTTGGGAAGTATAATGGAGAGGTGCGTTTAAACATCATAATCTGTAGAGATTAGATTTTGACCGGACCGAGTAACTGAACTCTTTCAAGTATACTAAAAAGGGCAGCATAATTTGTAGAGAGTAATAGGTAACCTATTATCTAATCTTATTATTTTTATCCAATCACGGCTTGGATAAAATTTCCCATGATCAGCTTATAGATAGTTTTTGTCCCATTCACTCTCGATTTGGCGCATTCCTTTCGCACTCCATCTGTGATAATCAATCGTCAGCGGGTCAAATCACCGATCACTGCCTTAACCATCGGAAAAGTGTCGCCAAATTTTCCAAAGTGAGAAAACAGCTTATCTCTACAAAGAAAACCTTCAGCGATATGATTGTTTCGATCTCAGCAAACGGATTTCTTCAAATTATCCAGGCGCCTTCGTTGGACGGGACGATTGCACCACAGTGAGTTTTACAGGGCTGATATTGAGCTTACAATTAGAATGATGGTAGAACGAGCTCATGAACTAAGCAATGAGATATCACAATTCAGATTCATAACGACAGATTCATAAAGCTCAAATTTCTATTTCCAGTGTTCTTCACACTCAAATGATCCACGCAAATATCATGTCTGCTTATTTACATCCGGTGGAGAAACGACAGTCTATGGAGTTGATCGTCGTGATGACGGATCGAGTTGGTGAGTAGAAAAAGCGATACAGCAGGATTAGCTAAAGTACTGGACAATGAAATATCATATTTGAAAAACGATCGTCACTTTTGCGCGTCTGTAACTCCCTTGTCTTTGAGTTTAAACTATCAGTGTTATACATTTTCTGAAAGCTCTTTTCAAGGGCTACACAATAGTAATATTAATATTTAGAAATACGGTAAAGATAAGGGAGTTACAGACGCGCGAAAGTGACGATCTTTTTTCAAATATGATATTTCATTGTCCAGTAGTGTAGATAATCCTGTAGTAAGCATACTATTTAAAGAATTATAACTCCAGCTAAAATACTTTCAAAAATGAAGTAAACTAAAGAAGTTCCGGGTGAGACTGATCTCGAGGATCACGCTAAAGTTTGTCACAACTTTAAAGCCAACACTTTACTCAATGATTTGAAAATTGTATGAAATCTAATAGCATTATTTAGTAGTTATCTAATAGTATTATTACTAATAGTAGTTATTTCATAATTGAAACTTTTCAGTGAGAACATTTCGGTGGGACGATGAACAGAAACGTTTCCTGGTGGTCGGGAAATGGGAGCTCACTGGGCAAATCATGGCGATCGCTATCGGAGAGTTAGTTTTTAAAAAGTTAAAGGCTAAACTTGGTAACAATTCGCTTAAATGCTTAAGCTTTGAATTTAAAAGCTATTTAGTTAAAAATGTCATTCAGTAATCCATTGCGCGGTACAGAGTGTTGGGCTAAGTTGCACACGTCAAGGCGCTTTGTCAGCTGTCGATTGGGAGCCAACAAATCGGTAAGCTTAAAAGTTAACAAAAAAAGGCTAAAAATAGCAATTCCTCCACAATAATGCAGGATTTTTCTTACCAACTTTTAAGTTTCAGGTCTCAATCCACCAAATGGCCACCGACACTCCGGAAAAGCTAATGATCATGCCGTATCGGTGCTATTTTGTGGACATGTTTGAGCCAAAAGCTCAAGAAGTGATCATTCATGGTAAGTGGCTAGTTTTAGATGTAGCTACAATTGTAAACAATTGAAATTTAGCAAATCTCCGCGAACGTCGACTTTTTTCTCCATCCAAAGAATTGGCCTCTTTCGCCACGTTGAGATTAGCGGGTGTGAACATTTTGGCGAGTATCGATCGATACGGACTCGTCTTCATTCACGCATACAACGAGAAAACGATTAAGGTAGGGAAATTGGGTGAAATAAGAATCATATGTTACGTAAGAATTATCTACCATAAATACTCTAAAAGAATCACCCATTCTCTCTACATAGTCTAAGTTTACACTCAAAGAACCGTTCATATCTCAGTACCAGTACGTTTGTTTCTACGCGCTTAGGTATCAAATTAAAGTAGAGAGAATGGGTGATTTTTTGAGATATCATACAGATTTCTAACATTAACCAGTGCTTAGAAAAGAATCACCCATTCTCTCTACGTAGTCTAGGTTTACACTCAAAGGACCGCTCATATCTCAGTACCAGTACGTTTGTTTCTGCGCGCTTAGGTATCAAATTAAAGTAGAGAGAATGGGTGATTTTTTTGAGATATCATACAGATTTCTAACATTAACCAGTGCTTAGAAAAAAATGATGAAAAATCAGCGTTTTTTCGCCACTTTCTTTTCCTTTCGTCGAGTTCCTTTTTGAAAAAGTCAATCGAGATTTAAATTATTTGCCCAAACACTAACCCTTGCCAAAATTACCGTATTTCTTCGAATAGAAGACCGGGTAAAGAGTATCATCGCGTACTCCTGCGTAGCAGCCCTTCTTAAAATTTCTTTTCTGCATAAAAGCTTTCAATCAAGTGCTATAGAGCTGGAAAATGGCTCAAAAATCTGTTAGCTCATGTGCTATTTTTGAGTCATTTTCCAGCCCTATAGCACTTCATTGAAAGCTTTTATGCAGAAAAGAAATTTTAAAAAGGGCTGCTACGCAGGAGTACGCGATGACACTCTTTACCCGGACTTCTATTCGAAGAAATATGGTAATGTTATTGAAAATCCACGAAAATTTTTATTGAATCTATTCAATAACAAACGTAACATATAGGTTTATCACTTGTTCTAATCCAAAGAGGATTATGTATAGAATTGGCTTCAAAACCCATCCAACAACCCAAAAATCGGCCCAAAAATAGCCAAAATTGATTGACAAGCTATGTTTGAGTGTTTTTGGAATAATCTTGAACTCAACTTATTCATTTCAGTTATTCGTCATCCCACCAATTATCCAATTCACTTCACTACCCGAATGTGTTCGCTTATCGATTTGTCACTACAACGGCTTTCTCGTGATTGCGGTCACTTCTCACTCGAAAAAGGTTGGTCTAAAGCATGTGTATCCAGAAATTTCACGATACCTTGATTCTATCAAAATTTAGGTTCAAATTCACACGATCTCCATCGACTTCATTATGGATTTGGTGGGCGAGATGGAGGAGTCGGTTCCAGCGAGCGAAATGTTGAACGCAAAGGGCGAGATTGACCCAAAACTCGAGCCGATTCCATCTTCAGTTTAGTGGTGTTTGTATAAAGTTGTATATAAAAATTTTATAAGAAAAATGAATGAATACAAATTGAAGAAATGACTGCAGATTTGTGTGTTCGGTATGTGCTCACGAAAGCTAGCTTTTTGGCTTAAAACTTTTGTGACTGGTGCTTTTTGATTGCTTAATTGATCGGAAAAATGTATGCCATTTTAAAAAGATAAAAATTCAGCTAAATTAAAGAATTTTTAACCTCAGAATGTTTTTTATCTTATCATTGAGCTAAATGCTTATTATCTAGTTGACGAAGCTTGAATCACTTTCTAAAACTGTCTGTTAGAAGTTGCATGACTTTTTTAGTTTTTCATTACCTACCCTATTTACTTATGACTATTTACACGTTAGAGTTATAAGATTCTAAAATTACCGTGCAGAATTTCGCTTACGCGAACGGATTTCATTGAGAATACTATGAGAAAACGACAGCCGAAGCAAGTCGCCAGCAAATAGATGCCCATTTAGTGTCCATGCATTCTGATGTCGAGGAGAAGTTTGTCATGGGTACGTTTTGAAAAGTTTTGTGTCTCATTGGAACCTGTATGCTTTACTATTCGGTTGTAAACTAAGTTTTGACCCTTTCTTAAATTGCTAATAATTGCGTTGCGTCCTCCCAACGAAAAGCAGCCGCCTCAGAGACACGAAGAAAACCGGTGAACATCAACGTGTCAATTCGCAAGTCCTTGAGTGAGCTTGATCCGAGTCCTCGTTTAATCACAATTTTTAATTGTGATTGCTCTTTGATTGCTTAATTGATCGAAAGTGTATACCATTTTAAAAAGATAAAAATTAAGCTAAATTAAAGAATTTTTAACCTCAGAATTTTTTTATCTTATACTTAACATTGAGTTGAATGCTTATTATCTAATTGACGAAGCTTGAATCACTTCCTAAAACTGTCTGTTAGAAGTTGCATGACTTATTTTAGTTTTTTATTACCTACCCTATTTACTATTGACTATGTATAGAATTGGCTTCAAAACCCATCCAACAACCCACAAATCAGCCCAAAAATAGTCAAAAGTGATTGTCAAGCTATTTTTGAGTGTCTGACTTGTTTGGTTTACTTCATTGCAAGTCTGACTCATCAAAAGTTCCTTGGCCAGGTCTGAACCAGGAGTGTTCGTTTCGAGAATTCGGAGAATTTCGGAAAATTCGAGAAAAGCCTTCGTAACTTTCCCTCTAGAAGTTCAACTACTTTCATTTATTTATATTCCTGTAAGGTTAAACATGTTGAATCGACCGGGGCTAGATTTGTTTAGACTGGATAAATGGTTTTTCTCGTTTCTCGTTGTAGAGTTACCTTCGGCAGCTAATTTTTTTGGTCATCAATATTCATCACGAGATCTATCGAATGAGGTATCACTCATTCCAAACGGTCACCTTAACTTTGAAACATTCCCTTGTCAGCCTTTGCGAATAAACTTGCATATAAAATTTGAATTTGAAAATGCGACGTCTCTTGAACAATATGCTCCATCATTATTACATCATTTTTCTTCCCAACAATGACCAAACAGGTGTGTTTTTGTATTTGTTTTCTTTTATATTTCTTTGTAAGAATTACTTACCTATTTACTTGTAATTGTTTCGGGCTATAAGGTTTGGAGGTGCTATAGTAGTTGGGAGGGGGAAGGGGGGGGGAGGGGTAAAATTAGGAGCCACGTGCCTCTAAGGTGCGGAGCCAAAGCCTAGATAAATATAGGAGCCTTGAATGTTGTTAAAAGTTACGAAATGTTGTGTGAGACCATCGCTAATAGATTCAGCATAGTCAAAAACCCCTGGGGTGCAAAAAATCAGCTCATTTGATCAGCACCCGGTTTGGAGGAGGGCAGTGGGCGGGGCTTTCGAAATACCTTTGGCAAATCCCGAAAACGGTTTTCTAGGGGTTTCGACTACGCTAAATCGATTGATAATATTTCTAGAGCTTGTTTGTTTTTGTTACGCTGAGATTGACTTTAGTCCCGCATACACGGAGTTGCTGGCTGGGGATAGACGGGTATTTTGAACGGGTCGTCTCGCTTTGAAGGCCTATGACTTTGTCCAGCGATCATATTTTTGTTAACTTTTTATATCATTGTACAGAGGAGATTTGACTGAATGAATGGGTAACTGAATGGGGGAATAAATGGACACACTTTTGCCTACCAAAGACAATCATTCGTTTACTATGTTACTATATTGGGTTGGCGCCTAGGCCGTGTCGGATTTTTCAAAGCGTTCAAGTCCTTTGAATTTCTGGTTTTTGCTGCCCCTGCGGACCGAAATCCTTGGGATGAATCCAAAAATTCACAGCGGCTCCCTTCGGCACCCTTTTACAGGCACTTGGGATCCCATTTCGACCGGCGGAGAACCCACCATTGTGGCCAAAATGAGCCGGAACTGGGTTTGAAAACCGGAACAATTCTACAGCCGAGGTTAGTTTTGGGAAGCGGTGACCATATGGGGCAGACAACGGATTGGTTACCGGATGACCCAAAATGGACACTTCCGATTGGAAGAGTGAAAAAAAGACGATATCTGTCAAGGCCGTATGCCAGATCGAGTGCGATTGTGCCCGCGCACAGTGAACGCACCGGACTCCTCGTTTTTGCATTTTAAAGTTTAAAAACATCAAATTTTTGAGATTTAGTTATAATATATTTCTCATAACACTGTCAATCGATTCCCCAACCCCGAAAATCCTGGGTGCAATTTCGTTCTTCATAGGAAGTTATCCAAAGCAAAATTTCCCTCTTTTGGATTTGTCAACTCTTTTGTTGCAATATCAAACCAATTTTAAGGTTTTAGTATACTCTAAATGAGAGACATAAACCAAAAAAAGTTCAAGGACAGCAAAATCGGACAGGCCATTCCATTGTCAGTATCTTTTGCATTGTAATATTGCATTATTTAAGTGAGTTTTCTCCGTTTTCTTTTCCATTTTTTGCGGTAAACTTTTAAAATTGTATTCCGTAATCAAAATCATTTTTGGTTTTTAGAAAAAAAGCCTGTGAATGCATAGAGACTTAAAGTCTAAGTAGACGTTAAAGTAGACTTAAAAATTATAGCGAACATCGTATATTTTTTAATTTCAATAGGATTTCCTATCTTTGTAACAAATTGTAATTCAATTTCTCTCGGAAACAATAACATGATATGTTTATTATTGAATATTACGCAAGTGAGAATTGTTTTCCGATCAATGATTGACCAAGCCCAGTCCCGCCATGAAAGCTTTTCCAACCAATCGCTCGAGATCTAGAATTTGTTGTTGGGAAATTTATAAAAAGATTACAGAAACAGATTTTGTTACATTTATTTAGTTTAAACGTTTATTTAGTTTTATTTATTTCAACTCACCAAATGAAGTGGTTGATGTTTGGGGTGGAGTGTTGGTCGAGTTGGGGTTGACAAATGGAGGAAGTGTCACGTTTGGAGCTGAAGTGTTTGTTAGTGAACAAACGTTTTAATAACCTAATTTTGATAATAATTTGAATTCAAACAAAACTAAAAGTCATCTTATCAAAAAAATGGAATGTAGAGATTGTTTGTAGAGATGTAGAATGTAGAGAATGTAGCTCACTCAGAAGATTGTCTTTTGAATGAAATTAGTCTTGTTTTTCTCACTGTTTAAATCTTTGCGTAACTATTTTCTTTAGATCATTTGTCTGAATGACAAAAGCACAGAATGGCTGTGCTTGACTTAAAAGCAAATGAGCACTCTCCGTTGCTACCTATTGTTGTCAATAAATTGCGTTAAAAATCCCAGAAAGCACAGTACTGTAAAGCACCTGGTATCTCGTGTAGACGACTAAAATTGTTTGGGAATTAGGTAGGACTTAACATCTTTCACCACCCCTTTCAACTCATTTGAAGATTAAAGATATTCAGCTCTGATTACTTTTCAAGTTCGACAAACTGTAGGCAAAATACTGAGGACTTTACAGTATCTTTGAGTTGAAACAAAGGTCAAGTTGTGATTGGATACGTTTAAGGCTAGAAACTGACAGATAATTACAAAATCTCTTACCCAATGTGAATGGTGCCACGGTATAGTTGCCCACTGGCACGACGGTGGAGTTTTGACGAGCTGAAAAGGCTTTGATAGACAAAACAAAAGCTGCACTTGTTGGATCTTTCCCTTTATCAGGGGGATAGTAATTTTTTTGGTGGATCATCACCAAAACATTCTTTTGATGTGGACTACATTTAAAAGAAAAAAATTTACTTATCTACACTTGAACTCCAGACGCCCACAAGAAAAAAGCTTCCCTATTGGGGAAAATCATCGAAAATCATCCATAAACATGAAGTATGCCGATCTCGTTAGATGAAAAAGGCGCTATTTTATTTCTTGTCGATCATGGAATCCTCCAAAAACCGAGCTGTGGCAATGGTCATTCAATGAAACTGTCTTCGAAGGGCGGCGGTAACTTCAGAGGGGAGTGCAACCCGTGTGTGTACGCGCTCGTCTGCCCAACTCCAGTTGCACAATCCGATCTGATAACTGGCTCGAAAACACCAAGCTCAGCTTCAAGACCATCGTTCTTTTCCTATACAAATGGAGATACTACGATTCCCGCATGTGAACGTGAGCTCGATATGGGAAAGAACACCATAGTTGATTGAAACCTCTATCTTCGCGATGTATGTGCATGGAAATTGGCCGATCATCTCAATAAGAACTCGATTAGTGGCCCCCAGAAGGCCCTGGAGATCGACGAAAATTTGATTGCAAAACGGTAGAACCACAAAGGACGCATGCTGCCCGAAAGATGGGTGTTTGGTGGAATCTGCTGCGAAACCAGGGAGAGATTTACTGTTCTGGCTCCCGATAGCACAGCTTCAACCCTAATCGGTGAGATCAAAAAACACATCGCTGCTGGTTCACACATTGTTTCGGATGGTTGGAAGCCATATCGTCAATTGGCTGGTCGTCCGAACTACAAGTACAATTGGGTTGGTCATTCGAAAAACTTCATCAATCCGAACAATCCTCAATGGCACACACAGACTATCGAATCCATGTGGCGCCCTTTTAAAGATGCAAATCGCCGTCGTAATGGTACGCGACATCATGGTCGACTCCTACATTGCGGAGAGTTTGTGGCGGCTCACTCTGGGCAGCAAGCTCACACTGGGCAGCACTCTGGGCAGCAAGGAGCAAGCACTCTGGGCAGCTATGCTGTAATCCTTAACAACATCAAGGAATTCTGTCCATGTGGAAGCTCAATTGACTCATTGCCTTTTTACCAATGATCAGTAGGCTTTTGTGTTAGATGAGTGATAAGAATAAACAAACTTGTTGACAGCAAGTAAATTACATTTAGCTCAGATAAATACATAATGCAATATCACTTAAATGCAAGGAAATAATACATTCAATTCAAATATACCATATTCTCCACACAAAAACCCCCCTGATAAAGGGAAAGATTACGCTTGTTTATTGATTGACTTCTTTTGAATTTAGATTACAATAATCAACTCACCATTCAAAACTAACGGCGACGGTGTGGTCCCATTAGCTGAAGGACCGGCCGTGTAGTTGTAAGCTAAAAAAATAGAGTTCAAACCGCGAGAAAGGCTAAATAATCTTAAGGATCTTAAGAATTAAAACTTATGATGATTAAATTTTGAAAGTTTTTGATCTAACCGCACCTGGGAAAGTGACTGACGAGTTGCTGAAGATCGGATTTGTGAAATTGCTTGGAGAGTTGGTGAAGTTTCCGGGGAAATTCGTCGAGTTAGCTGTAATTTGGAATTATACACTTGCCTAATTTGTTTTAGATATTTTTACTCACCAACTGGAGTCAGCGTGAAGTTAGAAGGCCAGTTTGTGGAGTTAGCTAGAACAGTACAAGTGAGCGAGCTTTATGCAAACCAACCTGGAGGCAGAGTGAAGTTGGACGGGAAGTTAGTAGTGTTGGCTAAAATAAGAAGCTTTTGTAAGAAGTTTTAACTAGCTTTTGTACTTGTGACTTTTTCGGTAGAAACGTGAACGCAAATTCGCCAATCTTTTACTACATTTATATGTGTATAGTTTACATTTCAAATATGCAAATTTGCGTGGATAAAAGTCCCAAGAACCAATCAAGTTCTTGTGATTTTTATCCACGTACTTTAATCGATGAGCTGTATGTAAATTTGCGTGGAGAAAAGTCACAAGTATCCTAGATCACAAATCTAACTGTATCCATAGATTTCAGGCTTGGTAACACATTGATCGATCGATAAGACGATCGATAAGACGATCGATAAGACTATCGATAAGACTACCTGGTGGCAAAGTGAAATTGGATGGCCAATTGGTGGTGTTGGCTGAAAATAGAAGTCTGACTCAAAAGTAGCGATCTTTTATAAGCCTAGGCCTAGAGGGCCTAGAGGACCTAGGCTTTAGCCTAGGCTAGAGCTTATTTCAGCTAGTTGATGTTAGTACAAAGTATTCAAAAGTTATTTACTTTTCCAAATAAGATACGTTTTTTATTTTTGACTCACCTGGTGGCAAAGTGAAATTGGAGGGCCAGTTTGTCGAGTTAGCTGAAACAAAAACATAAACATAAACAATTCCTGAACAAACCATATGGAGTCTGTGTAGAGTTAGATGGCCAGCTCGTCGAATTGGCTAAAATTGTCCGAATAACGTTAAACTCACTCAAAACTAACCAAAAGGAGTCGACGTCGAGTTAATTGGAGCAAGTGTGGTGTTGAGATTTTGATAGTAAGGGACTTGGCAGAAGTATGGGAGTTTTTGAGCACAAGACACGGTTGACCATTCAGCTGTGGCCGAGTCAAGTTGAGCACAAGCGAGATTTGATTGAGCTGGTTGTCCTAAAAGCGAATCGGTTGCTGTGTATTATGAAATAAAATTGATAGAATCGGTGTACGATGGCAGATCTACTGAACTTGACTTGACTTGAGTTGACTTTCCCCATCACTCACCTTTTCCCCAATTGTTGTAGATCAATGGTGTTCCGTCGCTGTAAACCCATCGATTTCCCTCTCCTTTCTGCACACCAATGAACGCTGGCGATCCGTTGAAGACTAAATTTTGGCATTCATTTAAATAGCTCTAATTTTACAGCTTTTCAAAACTTACAAATGTCAATAAGTGCTCTCAGGTAAGCATTCTCGAAAACGTTTTTGATCTCGAAAGGCAACCCGCCGCGTTGTTCACAAGTTACGAAGGCGGAATCGAATGATGAACCTGAAAACAAACTTCGTGATAAAATAGCTTTTAAAAAGCTGTAAGGTAGTAAGCTGTAAAGCTGTAAGGTAGTCAACATACATTATTAAGTATTCAGATATTCAGTATAAACAAAGGTATTCAGTTGACAAAACTGAACATTCTTCACTCAACGGAAAACCTATCCAGTCTTGTACCGGTATAGTTTTGTATTCTCAAAATCTATCTACCGTTAGACACTGCATAAACACAGATGAACTCGTTGGGGATTTGCTGGGATCCGGGTGGGCAATCAGCCCGAATCGAGGCGGCCAACACGAAAGCCAAAAGCAAATAGGAGAGCATCTGAAAAGGATTGTGGAACATTTTATACGCGCCCCGCTCCTTTTGCCATTGGCAATCTAACTTTGAACTCAAATATCTTCGTGTTGGACTGTCCAATTTAAATGGTTTTTATATCAATCGACAAGAAAGATTTGGCGCATCTAGTGATATCAAGAATATTCAAATTGGATAGCCCAACACCAAGATATTTGATCTTAAAGTTGGGTTGCCAATGGCAACAGGGGTGGGGCGCGTATAAAAGGTCTTTCTGACCCCACCCCTTTTGTCAATCCAACTTTGAGCTCAAATATCTTCGTGTTGAACTATTCAATTTAAATAGTTTTTATACTAATCGACAGAGAAAGATTTGGCGCATCTAATGATATTAAAAATATTGAAATTAGACAATCCAACACCAAGATATTTGATCTTAAAGTTTGATTGCCAATGGCAAAAGGGGCGGAGCGCGTATCGAATGTCCGATAACCTCTGAAAAGAGATGATCATGAAAAGGGCTAAGGTTGAAAATAAACTTTGAAAGCGGACGTTGAGAATTCAATAAACTATACTAACGAAATTTTAAACGAAAATTTTAGCTAGAAGAACAATAAATGAAGACAATTTTATGTGAAAGAGTGAAGCCGACTATAAGAGGAGAAGGGTACCCTAAAAGTTATCATAAAAGCGCATACCTCTACATTCTGGCTTAGCTAGAGACTGCTTTAGCTTAGCCTAAGCAGACTGCTTAGACTGCTTTAGCTTAGTCTAAGCAGACTACTTAGACTGCTTTAGCTTTAGCTTTAGCTTAAATCTACTTAAAACGGATCTACTTAAAAAAGACGATCTACAAGATAAAAGCATAGCGAAAAAGCATTTATTAAGAAAAATTTCGAAGAAAGATAGTAATATGCTGAAAGTATTCAACTTTCAAATACAGTAGCCTACTAGATTTCTCGAAATACAATCAGCTTTTACTTCCCTTCCTCACTTATCGCTCCCATTTATACCCTTGATTCTAAATAGCCTGACTATGACGTTTATTGCTTGAAGATTCGCCGAACCGCTTTCTTATCTTGATTTTCCTCGTCCACACCCAAAAAATCTCTCTTATTCTTTACGAATGTTCTGATTTTTGTTCGTTTTCATGCAAAAGATTATTTTCGGCACACCCAATGATACTTTGTTTTTTAGGAAAGCCTTTCCGGTGGCTTGACGACTCCACCCATTTCTATTGGGTTTTTTTCTTACAAGTGATGTTTATCAGACAATTTGTGAGTTTTTTCTCAGTCAACCATTTTTTACAAAGTCTTATCAGCTTTGTTAGTTCAATCATCACTTTCCCCAATTTTAAAAGTTGATTTTACAAAACCGTATACCGGCTATCAGTCGTCTTTTTCTAAATTCCTTGGAAATCCCAATTTGGTTAGTTGAATGCTTTTTGTTATCAGATGACAAATTTTGATTGTAAACGAATCTGATTTGTGATTTTTGATTTGTGTATTTGTGCTTAGTTTGTGGTTTAGATACCGTAAGACTTGCAATCTTTAGATTCTTTTAAATTCTTTTAGATTTAAATCTCTTAGACACCGCCGCTTGGTCACGGATTTAATAGAATGTTTCAGGGCAAGCAACCTATCCCTCTTTTTCGAGATTTATTCAAAGTTAATCCCACGGTTAGTTCAAGGAGAGGTTCTTTCGTTTTAGAAATTCCAGTCACCTCCAATAAGTTTGTTTATAACTCTTTTCCAATAAGAACTGCCAGAATTTGGAATCAACTCCCCAGGGTTTTAAGAAAGTCCAATAGTATCGAAACCTTTAAATTATCTGTAGATGATCTTGATCTTGAAGCTCTAGTGGATTCTTAACTTTTTCTGTGCTACCCATTACATCAACTATATCGTGTTGCTTTTTATCGGCCCTTTTCGTGTTATGCTTATGAATTCATGTGTATTAATCTTAAATCTAGCGCACTTTATCTCAGGTCCTGAATAAAATATCTATATTCAAGTTTAGCTTGAAGCAAATTTTAAACTAGACTTGTATCGGTCCTATTTTCTTAGTCGAACCTGTTTGGTCCAAAAATGCAAATCCAACAAAGAGTCTTAAGAAGGATTTGTCGTACAAGTGACAGGGAAACCTCCAATCGATTGATCATCGATCACTATCATTGCTCAATTCGATGTCTTTGCTAGTGCGTTTCCTTGAACATAGCATGTTATAGTGGTCATCACTGTCGGGTTAAACTAGATTAAATTCCGTATTTCATCTTAGAACAAAACTTTCACCACAATTCATACTCACTTTCCACCTTTTCAAGCATTGCTTGTAATAACCAATTCATTTTTATTGCATCGGAGCCAAGCCATAGGGTTTATTGCATCGGAGCCATAGGTAAACTTCACGCTGAAATCTTTATTCAAAAGTTTATATTTCCCTTATTTTTATATAGGATTTCAAGCTAACCTTTTGAATTTTCAAAAAAAACATTTGACCTCATTTTGAGCGGGCTTTTTCCTCCTGTGTGTCACTCGATTGTCACAGGCTCCCTTTTGAAAAAGTGTAAAATTAAAGACACATGTTGCCCGCATGAATCAACCAACAAAAGCTCTGTCTTTATTTTAGGATTTGATTAAAATACAGTAATCATTTGAATCCTTTAAAACAAAAAAGAATTTTTTTTTATTTAACTTCAAAGTCAGGCTCATCCAACTTCCTAGATCCTTTTGGGAAATTTTGGATCAAACTTTGACACGAAACTTGAGTACTTTGTTTTTATAAACTCAAATCCTTCAGCATTTTTGATATTGGGTAGATTCTTGTAGATACAAATCTTGATAGATTTCTGCTCAAAAATAAAGTTCCTGATTCCGACTAGAGGTGTCTTTGGGGAGTGGGACAAATGCGACCTTTTTTTTGCGCACCCGGACATTTGCGCACCTTTTTTTCCGCACTTAGCCCATTAGCGCACATTTTTTCGCGTTTTAAAAAAGCTCTAAAAGCTAATCTTAACCAATTTCTATTCCAAAAGTTGTTTTTCTAGGTAATTTTAGGGCGTAGAATCGAAATTTTGACATATCAGAGCTTGTGGAAACAAACGGAGGGAGGTATACAAAGAGAAAAATCAACAATTTTCTGCAATTTGACCTCGCCGTTTTGTCTTTCAAATCGGTTCCACAAGCTCTGATATGCCAAAATTTCGATTCTACGCCCTAAAATTATCTAGAAAAACAACTTTTGGAATAGAAATTGGTTAATATTAGCTTTTAGGGCTTTTTTAAAACGCGAAAAAGGTGCGCTAAATGGGCAAGGTGCGGAAAAAAAGGTGCACAAATGTCCGGGTGCGCAAAAAAAGGTCGCATTTGTCCCACTCCCGTGTCTTTGTGCTCAAAGTCTGTAAACGAATTTTTTCTGGTGTAATAAATTTTGCAGCGATTTGACGAAACAAGAAAAGCTGAATGATATGCCAGAAGGAGTACGTTTGAGCACCTGAGCTGAGCACAAAGTACAGCAAGCTGAGCTGAGCTGACTAGGGATGCTTTTTGATTTACACCTGGCTCTTGCCTTCGGCTTTTAGCTTACGGGTTTGAACCCGCTTGCAGACATTTTTTTGCTTTTGATGCAGAAACCTTGGCTAAACAATTTTAGGGTATTTTTCTTACATCCCCTTTGTTATTTTGAAAATTGGTAACAAATGAAAAAAAAGACAACTATAACTTTTTTTTCAAGCATTTTGCTTGAGTAAAAAGCTCTGCTCTGCTGAGAGCTCTGCTAAAAGAAAGTCCGAAACTTATTTTGCATTAAATAAAAGTAAAGAACTAGTTGTTTAACCACACAACAACTAACCGTTTTCAGAGCTACGCCAAAGCAATTTGACTTTTACTGGTTTAACTGTCGACAAGCCATGCTCAAAAATTCTGTGTAAACTTTGAAGCTGAATATCGAATTTCAACACATCATCTCGACCTAGAGATTCAAAATAAAAAAAACTGCACCAGAAAAACTATTTCTAGCCACAAAAGCCAGGTGTAAATCCCTAGTGAACAAGGTAGAAGTTTCATGAACTCATCAGCACGAATTTAAATGATCAACCAGTCTGTTCTTACAAGTTTTCAACAAAACTAAAGCTTTTACTCAATCCCAAGGATTTTCCTTTCGAACATGATAAATCTAAAGCTCTCAGGTTAACCTGTGAGTCGATTATGAACAAAGAACAAAAACTTGAGCTCTTTGAAACAAGAGAAATAAAGGGAAAAGACAGCAACTGTTCAACGTCTTTGTTCCAATTTTTTCCCTTTTCGCTTCAATCCATGCCTTTTCTTTTCGCCCAAAGTTGTCTCATTAGAGCTCCACAATTACCTTCAATCTCTCAAAATCCCACCTTTGTTTCTGTTATAAATTTTGTTCTTTCAATAATGTTATCACTTCTAAAAGACGTTTTCTAAAGCGTTCGCTTTAAAGGCCACATCACTGTTTTCTGTGTTCTATTTGATTTTTAAAAAACGCCAAGAGACTGACACTGTACTCTACGTTTTTCAAAGTTCAAATCAAATCCTGTCCCGCATTGTCATCCGTTTAAAAGTCTAGATCAATGAGGAGCTTATCCAAAATGAGAGCTTGATTTTTTATTAAAACATAACTACGGTAGCCTTATAGATCAAGCAACTTTTAGAAAAAGCGTTAAAACAAGAAATCTACAGTCTAGACGTTTACAGATTCAGCAATGTGACAAGTGGGAGTCGGCAATCAAAAAAATGGTTTACACGACTGCTGCGAGTGAGTAAAAAGAGTAGTGAGTAGAGATAGAATTGATTACAATTCCAGTAATAAGTAGAGATGGAATTGATTATAATTCCAGTAATGACTAGAGATAGAATTGATTACAATTCCAGTAATGAGTAGAGATAGAATTGATTACAATTCCAGTAATTAGTAAAGATAGAATTGATTACAATTCCAGTAATGAGTAGAGATGGAATTGATTACAATTCGAGTAATGAGTAGAGATAGAATTGATTACAATTCCAGTAATAAGTAGAGATGGAATTGATTATAATTCCAGTAATGACTAGAGATAGAATTGATTACAATTCCAGCCCTTCGACAGGGTCGAATCTTTCGCTCGTTCAATCAAGACCTTGAGTCGGTTTGTCTTGCGGTCGTCACTTTTCTTTCTGGAGGTAAATACTTTAAAGAAAACAGTCTCTCGAAAACCAAATTTAAGGCATTTTGATGTTTTTTCTTTGTTTCATTGTAACAAAACTGCTGCAATGTTACAAAGCACGATTGAGGAGGAAACGAAGAAAGTCAGTTTTCCCTAACTCTTCAGTTTCAAATTTCCATTAAGCCTCTTAAATCAGAAAAAAACTAAAGGCAAAATTTATAATAAAAATCGAGTAAAATTAATTTTTGACTTATTGCAGAGCTCTCGGACATGATGATGAAGAAGATTTCAACTCAGCCCTTGCCACTGGTCAGATGCAATTTGAGGACTCGGATGAGGCTGAGAATGAAACCGATGAACACAAAAAGTTAACCAATGCTTAGTGAAAGATTGTTGGCTTTTTTGAATCAGTTTTTATGCTTGATATTGGTTTTTGGTTTTCTTGTTTTCCCTTTGACAATAAGTTTCCGGTTGATTCAAAGGAAAGTCGTCCAGAGTTGATTTAACGGAAACTTTTGAGATCAGCTTTTGAACCTAGACTTGTCTGACTTACCTGGAAGTTAAAATCTTGCCTGAAAATGACTGATTTAAGTACTGAATTAAAAAACGTGACAATTTTCTGTCAGAGATTCATTTTTCTTGGCTTATTCGGGTTCTATCACTGTTTTTTGCTCTTCAAGTTTCTTTTCTTTTCAAGTTTTTGAAGTTTTCAAGTCTTTTCTTTTCGTTTCTCGGGTTCAATTACCCAAATTTAAACTTAAACTTAAACCAAAAAGAGCTTCTCTTTAATATTTATCTTTTCCGAAGCCTTTCCCACTATATTACTACAAGAAATAGTCGTTTTTTTTGCATCCTTCTTTCCTTTTTGTTCCTTATCTTTCTTTTTCATATCCCTTTTTGCATTTATTTCTTCTGTGATTCTCATTTCAACGTGTTAGCCAAAGAAAATCTATTTACTCCTAAATAATAAACACATAATTGATTGCATATTTTGATAATAAATGCATATTTGTTTTCTATTCAACGATTGAATTGTCCAATTCTTGACCAATGCCAAAGCTTTTCCGTGAAGACGATTTGCTGAGTGAGAGTTTACTAAAATTTGAAAATTTCCTTGGATTTTTGTTGATAATTTCAAATTTTCTTATCTACAATTGAAGTTACTCACTTTATGAAACTTGTCAGCGATCCATTGTCAGCAAATATTTTAAATCTTTCATGATTTTCAGGCATTTTGTCAGCAATGGGTTTCCCTTTTGATTCTGGGATTGCAAAATGGAAAATGAGGAGATCGGTGACGACAAGAATCATCATCACAACTGGGGGAAACCAAATGGAGATTGAGCTCTGGAATAGGCAAATTTGATGAGTTTTTCCATATAACTGATAATCTAGTTTTAATCTTTAACTAATGTAAGCAGAAAGCATGGGAAGACTGAGCAGATAGACGCAGAGTATTGTAAATGGCGCAGACAGCTTTTAACACTTGGCTCACAGGGGAATGACACCAACCCGAAGTTCAGAATCACTTTGTGATCAAGTGATCAAGTAGATTCGGCTATGTTGGTTCTGAATCTGTAAAAATTAGCTGCAAACACCCATGTAACCCCAAGGAATCTGGGATAGAAAATTTCCTTAAATTTCGCACTTTTTATGGGGCTGCCACAAAGAAACTCTTCGAGGCTTCGATGGTCTAGCGGATAGTGAAAAAGCCTGCAAAACAGCCTGCAAGTCTGCAAAACAAAAAGCTTTTTTGGCTTGGTTTCGAATCCTCTCCTGACCAATCCCTTTTGCTTTTTTTTGGATTTGGATTTTGATTCTTTTTCTGATGTCTTTGCAAATAAATATTTATGTTTTACCCTTTTATATCTTCTACCAGTGTTCCTAAAACTCTTTACAGCTAATTTTTACCGATTCAGAATCAGCATAGTCGATTCTATGACTCGGGCACGAAGCGATTTTGAACTTCGAGCTGGTGTCATTCTCCTGTCAGCTTAAAGGCAAACACTTGGCTCAGCTTAAGCATTAGAGGCATTAAAGGCTGTAGCATGAATTCTATGATTCTTGGCTAAAAATCAGATTATAGAAAAACATACCATCAAGTAGAAATGCGGGGCCATAATCGTACCGACCCCTTCTGTGAAGAGAATCAACGCAAAGGCTGTGTTTCGGAGTGGAGTTGGAAAGATCTGAATAAGCAACTACAGGGCTTCCCAAAAGTTCTTATAGTTGTTGTAAACGGGCAATTTAACATGGAAAACACCCTATTTTTGAAAAACTAACGCTGGATTATGTAAATTGAAGTATTTTTTTGCTTCTACTATACTTTTTTTGCATAAAATTTGCAACTCTATACAACTTTTTGATGAGGATCTTTAAAGGTCATTACAGCGCTTTTTTGCTTTTCAGATTTAAGTGTTCTCTGTAGAATTGCTTGAAAATCTTTCGTTTTTGAGATATAAAGTTCGTTTATGGCTTATTTTCAAGAAAAAAAACTTAGATCTATCAAATGGTAACAACAGTTTTTGGGAAAAATTTCATTCTGCAAAGTTTTAGTCAATTTTCGCAAAAGTCTTCAGCGACTAGAACTGAATGTAAAAAATCCTATTCAAAAAGTTGTTGAGAGTTGAAATGTTTTTATGAAAATGGGCATATTGGAGTAAAAATATCTGAACTTTTAGAATCCGGCTTTAGTTTGGATGACAATATGGATGACAAAATAAACTGTGTTTTCCTTGGGTTGAAATCTTTTCTAAAAGATGCGCTTGAGAAAAAGCTAACAAAGCTAACATTAGCTAAACAAAATAGCTGCTCCCGGAAGAGTTACCGTACTCGCAGACAAGTTCTAACTGTTTTTGTAGCAGAAAACATCGCATCTACCTGACTGAAAGCTATTTGTCTGATCTGGCATCAGATTAAATTTAAACCTGTAATGTAGTGATGGTAAGGGTACGGTAGCTTTCCTCAAAGAATATCTTTTAGAAAACAGTAATGATGAAGGATCAAAGAGATATTGGGGACTGTGAGTCAATGGAGGGCCCCATACTTTAATTCAAATCAAATCCTGTCCCGCATTGTCATCCGTTTAAAAGTCTAGATCAATGAGGAACTGGGTGGCCCCATATTTTAATTCACGTGTTTTTCAAGTTAAAGAATTACTGCTTACAGAAGTATAAGAACTTTTGGGAAACCCTGTGTAAAGATGTAAGGTCACAAGGATCAGGGTAAGCACAACTACTTTATTTATTCGATCTATAGTTCAATTGCAAAATTTACCTCATTGCTAATGATCCCAATCAGCGCATAGTGTTGGACGATGATCGAGGCGGTGACCAATGAGAAGAAACGATTGAAGAGTGGGTGAATGTCTAGAAATGTCTAGAAATGTTCAAGTTTCGCTGCAAATTTAACAATAACAATTGAGCTCAAGTCAAGCTTTTGATTTTAACACTAGAAAGTCAAGATTTTGCTTTTGATTTACTTATAAATTCGGTTCCCAAGATGACCAACAACGATAGAATGGCCAGGATGCAGAACGTTTTATGCGTCACCTAAAAGTTTTGAATTTCAAAATTTCCAATTACAAAACCCACTTTTCTTCCCAGCCACTCAAATCGGAAATCCATAATTGCGGAAAGAATGTTGAAGACAAATCTCAAAGCACCGACGATGAACACATTTTCGTACAGCGATCCGGAGACTTTGTCCAGATTAAATAACATGGAATAGCTGATGATCGAGAGTTCAAAACTGAAAGGAAAACATTGAAAAGCATTAATTTATCTAAAGTATATATTGTTTTGGACTTTAGAAGTAAATTTCTCATATCCGTAAACCAACCAACAAAAGCAAAGGGCAATTGAATAGCCGATGAATTTCGGTGTACAGAAAAGATGAAGGAACGAGTAGGATTTCTCATTGTTTTCCTGGAAAAGTCCAATTAGTCAATTCTCTGATATTAAAATGGTTGAATCTGCTTTAAACTTCATTTAAAATCTCATGACTTATGATTCAAATGACTGCCATGGCCGACTGGCTAAGTGCCGTGTATCTTAGTATATATTAGGTTGGTGAATTGAAAACTGCGGGACTTTGAACTAAAATTTATTGAACTTAAAACCATCAATTTATTCCAAATAATTTCCATTATTATTGACGACTTCTGCCCATTTTACAGGCAATTTGCGGATTCCTCTTTCGTAGTAGGATTTTGGTTTGTGTGTGAGAAAAGTGTGAGACTCAAAAATGGAGGACTGGAGATGTTTGAGCACTTTCTCCAAAAGAAACCCATTTTGGTGTCAATAGAAAAGTTGTAGAGAATCAAAAATTAAGCTTATAGCCAAATTTGCAAAAAGATACACATAGTAGTTCCACTTAAAATGCAAGTTTTGTGAAAATTCCTAAATTTGGCATTTCTTGATAACCAGTTTTTGAATCGTCGTGAAAATTTGGATATAAGCTTAATTTTTGATTCTCCTACAACTTTTCCATTGACACCAAAATGGGTTTCTTTTGAAGAAAGTGCTCAAACTGTGACATATGACAAAAGCCGGCAGTTTTCAATTCACCAACCCAATATTTTACGGTTTTAATTAGATTCATTCATTTTTATCAGATAGCCCAATCATTTCTCTTGCAAATGACTTTTGTAAGTTTCTGAATTTACGAATTTTCACAAAACTTGGATTTTAAGCGAAACTACTAAGTGTATCTTTTTGGAAATTTGGCTATAAGCCTAATTTTTTATTCTCTACAACTTTTCCATTGACATCAAAATAAGTTTCTTTTGGAGAAAGTGCTCAAACTGTGACATATGACAATAGCCGGCAGTTTTCAATTCACCAAAATAGTTTTCAAGAGGTAATTCAGCATGACTCGAATACCGTATTTTCTCTAATAGTAGTGCACCCAGAGCGTCGCCTATAACCCAATAGTAGTATAGGGAGGTCAAGGCTTCAATCCCGTCGGCTAGATTATTGGTTCTTTTTCCCATATTCTATGGGGTTTTTTTCTTCTCTACATTTAGGGCTTACGGCTTGAGCGCTTGGGCTGTTTATACCACATTATTGTGCATAAATATATTTCCAAATTTAATTTAAAAGCTAATTTAAACAACACCGACCATATCCATCTTTTGCTCCTCGAAAAAAACTTCTTTCAACTTGACCATGTCGACCTCTTTTCCATCAATCTATAACTAATTTTAGCACTTGCTTTTCAGAAATTGGATAAGATACCCTCATTTGTTATATCCTACAGTAAACTGTTTAACTACTGTAGCCAGAACTTACCCTGTAAAATCTCTGAATTGTTAAGATTGCTTTGGTCAGCTTCCCGCGTCTCATCAAAAAATGCGGGGTTTCACTCATGTACCTAAAAAACTTTACTTTAATAACATAATAATTCTATGAAAATTCACCAATCTTGTTAGATATTCAATTTAATTTAGAACTTCAAATCTTTCAAACAAACCAAATCAACAAGGTTGCAGGTACGGAAATCGAGCTGATGAACACGATCAAGAGGCGCCATGTTTGAGTGAAATAGGCTGAAAATTGTGGTTTTAACGGTCTTAGCGGATTGATTAAAGCTTGACTGTTTTGACTGACGGTTATAACTGATTGTTATAAAACCCACCAATCGCCGCCACAATAACAAAATTCGGTGACCAGCTGAGCAAAAACGCGAGCCAGAGACGATGTTTCGATGGAAGGAGCTCTCCGTAGAAAGTGTTTGCAATGCTGGAAATGGATTTGATAAAGCAAATGTGTCAAATATTGCCTTGCTTTTTTAAATAATAAGTTCAATTTGCTTTCAATCTGCCTACTAATCCTATAACAATAGAACAAGATCAGCTTTTAATGGCATGCTTTGTGCACCGCAAATGGTTGAATCGCAAATGGCAGGAGAACTATCTTCTTATCCATATTAGTGGTGTGCTAGATGCTATATGATTTTGTGCGGTGGTAAAGAACACACAACTCATTAAAACCTAAAAAAGACTACCGGACTCGAATTAGAGAGCCCTCGCCTAACTCACTACCACTCAACCACCGCTGCAACTGCTGAGCTCGCGAAAGACAAGGTTATAATGTCGCGGTTTGATTTTTGAAACATCTTACAAAATTTAAACGCATATAACTTTTGACAGAGTGTTCCGTAGCAAAAAAGGAAAACAGATTCGAAATCAGCCTTGAATTCTGCGTCGAATGATCTATGGCTCATTTCATTTGACTACATTCTACTGTTGCCTTTCCATTCTAAAGCCAGGATAGCCGTGGCCAGGATAGCCGTGGCCAGGATAGCCTTAGCCAGGATAGCCGTGGCCAGGAGAGCCTTAGCCAGGATAGCCTTAGCCAGGATTTTGATACTTTTAGCCTAACGGCCCGAGCTCGATCAGCGTGAAATTCTGCGACCAATAATGGCTCATGTGATTTAGTTAGCACATCCAGTTGATCTTCCCTTGTCAATAAAATCAAAATTCTAGCTTTTTCTAACTAGATAGATAAGTCGATTTTTTCAAAACCAACACTCCTGCTCCAATAGTGAAGAATGAGACAATCGTGCGCAACGCGGTAAACACGATGAGATTTGGAGAGAAAGCCGACGCAAAACCAAAGCTTCCACAAAAGATTAAACAAATGATCATTGGCTGAAAGGTTATTAGATTTTAAAGTATTTAGGTAATATAATGGGTAAGTTTAAAAAAAAGTCAGTTCGCTGAACTCACCACTTTTCTTCCGTACAAGTCCGCGATTCTACCCCAGAATACAGAGCCAATGATGAGGCCAAGCATCTGAAATTTTTCATTAACAAAGTGATAAAACTAGTTCTTGCTTATTGTTAGAACATTAGAATTTTAAGTCAATAGAGCTATTACACATTCGCGACGACGTCCTTTTAGGCGTACAGGCGTGTCGTTAACTGTTTTACTGAGAATTTGTTGTAAATTCAAAGATAATCCAAACTACCGTATTTCCTCTAATAGTAAGCGAGCCGAGTTGATGACTATTTTACGGTTTCCAAGCTTTTGCAGAAGCTCAACACTCTAATCCCCACTAGATCTCATCGTCAGCTACATTTTCCGACCCCACATCGATAGGTTTTGATAAGCGGTTCTCGAGATTTCGAGCAATTTAGGCGACGCTCTGGGTGCACTACTATTAGAGAAAATACTGTATTCGAGTCATTCGATCGCTCTGAATTACCTCTTGAAAACTATTGAGTTGGTGAATTGAAAACTGCCGGCTATTGTCATATGTCACAGTTTGAGCACTTTCTCCAAAAGAAACTCCAAAAGATTTTGATGTTTGATGGAAAAGTTGTAGAGAATCAAAAATCAAGCTTATATCCAAATTTTCAGAACGATTCAAAAATTGGTTTTCAAGAAATGCCAAATTTACGAATTTTCACAAAACTTGTATTTTAAGCGAAACTACTAAGTGTATGTTTTTGAAAATTTGGCTATAAGCCTAATTTTTGATTCTCTACAACTTTTCTATTGACACCAAAATGGGTTTCTTTTGAAGAAAGTGCTCAAATTGGGACATCTCCATTTTTGAGCCTCACACTTGTCTCACACAAAAACCAAAATCCTACTACGAAAGAGGAATCCGCAAATTGCCTGTAAAATGGGCAGAAGTCGTCAATAATAATGGAAACTATTTGGAATGAATTTATGGTTTTATGTTGAATAAATTTTAGTTCAAAGTCTCGCAGTTTTCAATTCACCAACCAACCGAAAGTGACCCTAAGCCCGATTTGCACCAGAAGAAGTTTATGCTCTGCGTTTTCTGGGATATGGAGGGAGTGGTGTACTGGGAGTTGCTGGATAGCAGGACGACCGTTAATGCAATCAAATACAGTGAACAGTTGGGAAAGGTGAATGAATCCCTGAAGAAGAATAGGCCCTCCAAGTCAAAGATCGTTCTCATCCACGACAACGCGCGCCCTCATGTTGCAAAACTGATTTGCTCTAAAATAAATAGCCTTGTTTGGGAACTTTTGGCGCATTTCCCATACAGTTCGGACCTCGCCCCTTTTGATTACTATTTATTCCGGATCATGAGTAATGCGCTTGCTGGAGAACACTTCGATTCGGAAGAAGCAGTCAAAAATTGGCTTTGAAAGTTTTTCGACTCAAAACCAAAATCCTACTACGAAAGAGGAATCCGCAAATTGCCTGTAAAATGGGCCGAAGTCGTCAATAATAATGGAAACTATTTGGAATGAATTGATGGTTTTATGTTGAATAAATTTTAGTTCAAAGTCCCGCAGTTTTCAATTCACCAACCCAATAGTACAATAAAACCGAGGACTTTCTGTGAAAGAAATAACAAAATTCTACAAAATTTGAGTTGACACCAAAAATGATTTCTTGGTACGACCCATCGTCTCATCGTATCGTCGTGAATTTGTTAAGATCAATCTTTCTTAACTCACTTGATAAGATGTGCTTTGTTTGACGAGTTGGCCCTCATCACAGATCAACAACCACTAAAATTTCCTTTTTTCTTTCACGTAAAATAGCTCACCTCAGCATTTATCGAGTAGAATTCATAATCTAGCGTCAAACTGGTGCACTGTTGTTGCTCAAAACTTGCGCAAAAGTCAGTAGAAGAGTTGGTGAAGTTGGAAGGGATTTCGGTGTCACATTGAGTGATTTTCACATCAGCTCCTAGATTTTGAGGTATTTTGTCAGTTCGTTAAAACTCACCTCCAAAAACCATAAACAGAAAATTGCCACAAACAATGATCATGACAAGCTGAACAAATTAATGAAGCCTTTTATGGATATGAAATCTTTAAGCCAAATGGATTGTAAAGAAACCTGTAGACCGGGCTATAAGCCAAATATTGGTCAGAATCCAGGCCAAGATCTAGCTTCTGGTCTGATCCTGGCCTTGTCTTTTACTTGATTCATTTCAATTCCAATAACCAACCTCAATCAGTAAAATAGTGATGAATCCGTATCGTCCCAAAGTGAGAAAATCGTCGATACATTTCTTCTCGGATTTCATTGTTTACCAATAAAATTTGTGTTTTCAATGCTGTAAAAGATCAGCTCTGAAAATGAATCGATAAACTTGAGAAGAAAAATTAATGAAGCAAATGGAATTAATTTATGTCAAACAATCAGCTGAGAAGGGTGGCTAGAGTTTAAATGGTTTAAATGATTTGAATGATTTGAATGATTTGAATGTTTTGTTATTTTTTTTTTTTTTTGATTTATTTGATTTTTTTAAATTTTTTTAATTATTTGAATGATTAAATGATTTGAATGATTTGAATGATTAAATGATTTGAATAATTTAAATGATTTAAATGATTTGAATGATTTGAATGATTAAATGATTTGAATGATTTGAATAATTTAAATGATTTAAATGATTTAAATCCCGTCCCCCTTTTTTCTGGTCTCTTTGAATTCGGCTCTCTACGGGGCGCCTCCAGAAGGGGGCCTTTTCTCATACGCCAACCTTCCGTTTCCTCTAAAAGCCCCCACAGTTTCTTTTTTAATCGAGTTATTAAGTTCTGGAACATTTTACCCCCTCATGTTCGTGATATTTCCACCTTGGCTAGATTTAAAGCCGCAATTTCGGCAATTGATTTGACTGCTCTGTGATTCTTTCTTGAGGTATCCATTTATCTTTTGGGTGTGTTTTGAGAGGTGTCCCGGGTAATTATTGTGATTTTGTCTTGTCGCTATTCAACTGAATAAAGCATATATATATATATATATAAAATGATTTAAACGATTAAATGATTTAAATGATTTAAATGATTTAAATGATTTAAATGATCTAAATGATTTAAACGATTTAAATGATTTAAAAGATTAAATGCTTTAAATGATTTAAATGACTTAAATGATTTGAATGATTTAATGATTTAAATGATTTAAGTGATTTGAATGATTTAAACGATTAAATGATTTAAATGATTTAAAAGATTTGAAAAAATGTTTAAATGATGTCATGTAGGTACATTTGATATGTAAAAAAAATGGAAACGTGAGAGGAACAGTCTTTAAAGGGACGAAACCTCAGACTAAACAGTCGGTAAAATGACGAAACTTCAGACTAAACAGTCCGTTAAACGACAAAACTTCAGACTAAACAGTCCGTTAAACGATGAAACTTCAGACTAAACAGGAATTCATAAAAAGTGCGCGAGGAAAGTGAAAAACATCATTGATATGATGTATGGCATTTAAAGGTTAAATAGCTAAAAGTTACAAAGAATAAAATGGATCAAGAGAGCAATTGTTGTCTTGTATCCAAAAATGTAGCTCTGCAATTGTCGGCATCTGCCATTTCCCTTTTACTTACACTAGCATAGCTTAATTGACATTTAAAGTATAAATTCTAATTGTCTTAATTGCCTTTCCTATTTCTGGGCAAAGAAGCTCAATGGTAGAGCATTTGCCCGATAAGCAGAAAGTCAAGAGTTCAATTCCTCTTCGTTTCCAAATCCTTTCTCATCCATTTCCATACTTTATTAGGTAGTATCTGTTGCAATTAGATATATAATTTTCCTTTTCTAAAGATCTGCTTAAATCTCTTAAAGATCTAGCTCTATATTCAAATCAATTCAGGATCAAGTGTCTTACAAATAGGAGTAACTGATTGAAATGAGTAACTCACAGATCACTTTGATAGCCATTAGCTAATATGAAAACCGATACAGACCTTTCATACACACAAAATTAAACAAATTCTGTAGATCAAAGATCTCTAGTGCTTGTGTCAAAGAAGTTTTACAAATTTAGAATCAAAAAGCTTGATTCAAAGTTTAAAAATTTGAAAAACATACTTACAATCATAGTTCAAACTTATAAAACAATTAAAGCAGCAAAAGTTGATTTGTTTTTGATACGGTAACCAATAGAAACTGAACTAAGCCAAAAACCGGACAACTCCAACTAGAGTTCACCCATTTTTATACCAGCTTGAAGATTTCACCTTGCGAACTTTTTGATCATAACAAAAATATGTTCGGAGAGCTTTTGTGGTGATCGGTTCATTTAGAATTGAGCGAAGTTTGATGTAAATCACGGAATTTGAACAAAGAGAAAGAAACTCGACTGTTTTTCGAGTCTTTCTCTCGTGTTTACCAAACTTCCCGCTTTCTCTTCCCTAAAATTTTTCAAAGAACAAAGCACTTGTTGATCTTCAGTTAACAGTGAACAAAACAATGCTCGAATACTCATATTTTTCTAGACTCAAGCTGTTTATCAGGATTGATCTCTAACAGTGAAACTTTAATCTATTTGAATCATCGAGAGTTTTGAAGACTTATTGAAATGGAAACAGGCATTTTGATTTAGGTTTAAATTGTGTGCTTTTTTTGAATTTGATTGGACACTTTTACGTAAACTTTCTAAAAATTTGTCTTTGAAGGCATGTGAAGTGCTTTGAAAGGCTTGGATGGAACTTAAAACAACGTTAGAGGAAACTTTTCAATGAATAGAACTATTCTTTCAGTTTGGCTGTTATTTAAAAGCAACACATTGGTCTAACAGGATGCAGAATTTTTAACAAAAATACATCCAAATTTAAGGTAAAGATTGATCCCAAAAATTTGGGTATAATGACGCCAACAAAGAGAAAAAGCTCAGCGGCTCACCGCTTCTTCCTCTTTATGGATTCGAAAAGGGAAGCATCCCAAAAGGGAAGCATTTTTGAGATTTGCTAGATGATTAAAGATTCTAACAGTGAAAGCTTGAACCTAATTCATATTTTGGATCGACAATCCATAAACTTTATCTTAATCCATAAAATCTTAATCCATAATCTTATCTTTAATCCATATCTTAATCCATAAAATCCTTTTTTGAAAAAAAGGACCGAGAAGGGATTACTTACGCGCCTACTTTTATTTCCTGTAAAAGCAGAGATCTAGAGAAACAATCTCTCATGATTAAGTCCTTAATGGTGTCAACTTATTATGTTCATAGGCTATTTTTGCCTAGGCGCATTATCTAGAGAATTTGAGGTTAAAATTATTGAGTCACGTCTGTTGAACAAATATCTCATTCATCAATTCCTTAGCCATTTCTCTTTCTTTCAACGCATCCACATTTAGCTCAGTGGCAGAGCGTTTGGCTCGTAGAAGAATTCAATAAATCGAATGTCATCAGTTCATAGTGGGCAATTCGTTTTTGGAATTTGAGGGAAATTGTGCTATTCAAAAGAATTATATCAATTCTTGAATCCCCTCGTCTGATTGGCTTAGTGGCAGAGCGTCTGTCTGGTACACTTTAATGTCTAGCAAGCAGAAGGTCCCTGGTTCGGTTCCAGCATGGGACGATATGGTACTACCTTTTTGGGGATATTGTAGTTCAAGTTCAAGTATTTTGAACTAAAATACCGAAATTTTGTTTTTATCTATAACAAAAACCTTTTTAGGGCACAAAAATAGCGTGAAAAATCATTTATTGACTAAAAAGATGACTTTTTTGTTTGAATTTTTGTTTGAAAAAAAAAAAGATTTATGTTTCGAGCTTGAAAATTCGAACTTATTCCTACGCTCACTTAGTTGGATGCATTTTTGAGATTTGCTAGATGATTAAAGATTCTAACAGTGAAACCTTGAACTTGATCCATATTTTGGATCGACAATCCATAAACCTTATCTTAATCCATAAAAAACGAGACACTTTTTTCGAGGACCGAGAAGGTATTACTTACGCGCCTACTTTGATGTCCTGTAAAAAGGACATAAAAGTATCTATCCATAGCAAGGGGTTTTGCCAGATGGAAAGCGATTACGCGGCCGCACAACGAACACCTTGTAACCCTTTTGCACAGGGATCTTACTTTTGCTTTGTAGATAGTGCAAAAAGAAGACATTGAGCTGAAAATTTGTACCCGGGGGTTTTCGAGGTCGGGGAATCGATTGGAGCTATTCATTTTATTGATGTGCGATTAGAAAATGACTACGAGTTTTGTGCGCAAGCGCACAAAACTCGTAGTCATTTTTATAAATACTTTTTGCTTTTTGATATTTACAGCTAACCGTTAGCTTTGTGGCGAAGAGCCACTAAAAAGTTGCCGAACTCTGGCAGCCTAAAAATTCGAAAAGTATTGAGGAAATCGGTGCGTCTTCATTCTATTTCGCGCCCCAAATCATTTATTTTTTTGTAGCCGGTTAGCTGAGTATCTTGTGTTAAAGCCTATATAAGGCAACTATTTTTTGATTTTGTTATCTTTATTTTTTCTCCTTTCCTTTCATCGTGTGAAAGTTGTGTCCTAGTTAGGACGAAATTGTTTATGTTTTTATCGTTGCTTTTAATTCAATTGTCGATTTGGTGTGAAAATTGCTCAAGTGAGAGCCCAAAGATTCCGAGTCAGTCGGCTATTGAATAAAGCGTTTTAGTTCAAGGGAGATCAGATATCTCGAAACAAGAAATAACGTGTCTTGAGTGAAGAGTACCAAGCACGCAAAGAATATTTCTTTACAAGCTTTGTGTTTTTTCGTAGATAATATTGGGTTGATGCATAATTATCCGGACTTCTTTTTGCGTGCTTGTATCTTTTTTGTTTTGAAAGCTTTTTGTTTATTTCTTTTTTTAAAATATTCGTTATTCTTTAGTGAACAAAATGCGTGTCGACAATCATATCCATCTTCGCCATATCATGCTCTACCACTTCGAAAAGGGATGGTCTGCCGCAGAGTCGTTTCGCGATCTCAAAGAACTGGAGAAGCCCCAACGGACTACCACGTCAATCGATCGCTCAAAAATTGGCAAACAAATAAGATCTACAACGATTTGGATGACTTGATAGACGATGTTAAAGCGTGGATTGCCTCCAAAGATCGTTTATTCTTCGCTCGTGGAATCGATCGTCTTCCAAGCAAATGGCAATCAGTTATTGATGTAGGCGGTGAATATGCTCCAGAATAATCAATTAAACATATTTTTCTAACTATTTATGTTATTTTTTGTTAAATAAAATCATTTATAAAAGAAGTCCGGATAATTATGCATCGACCCAATAATTTTTCCTCGCAAATGACTCAAACAAACAAACGAGTGCAAAGAAAACCTTTTAGGTAATCGATTTTTCTTATCAGACTCTTTCGGAATACGTTCGTGTAAGAAAACAAGTCCATAAACATTTTGCAAATACTTTTTAGCTTTTATAAACCGTTTTTACACATTGCCATTCAATTTGTTTTGGTAGTATGTTACAAGAAGACTCGCCCGGGGAGAAATTTCTGGCTGAAGGAGGTTTTGGAAGAGTCTACAAATCCCGGAAAAATGACATGTGAGTTGTTTTTGATTCAGAAACAAAGAAAAACTTGAATTATTATTTGATTGATTGATTATTATTAAAAAATTTGATTCAGGGCAATAATCATCAAGTACGTGAAAGGAGAGGTGGCAAAAAAATATAAGGAGGAGAGCAAAATACTGGAATCGTTAAACAATGGATCGATCGTTGGATATAAGGGAACACGACAGAAAGGAGATCAATTGGGAATTGAAATGGAATACTGCGAGAGGGGATCACTTAGCGAATGTTTGTGAAAAGCTTTAGTTTTCTAGTTTGAAGATCTTTTTTATAAAGTGACTTTACAGGGTGCGACATATTAGGTTGGCAAGTTATTGGGTTGTCCAGTTATGAATGCGCGTTTTTTACTATTTTGTAAATTTCTCAAGATACCGAAACCAAGAAAAACATATGTATGAGTATTATTCGAAAGCTGGAGATCTCCTCTACATTTTGATATAAAAAGTTTTTGAATTTGCCCAGCCCTTGGGCAAATTGGCTGCACAGAAGAAGAGGTGGCCAAAAAATGGAAGGGTGTGTTTGGATCAAGTTTTGGCTCGGCTCAAATTGAGTTAACCGTTTGATGTTTGGCCAATAGATATATCAATACAACTTTTTTTAAATATAACAATTTCAGAGCATCTTTACTTTTCTTTTCTTTTCTTTTCTTTACACCATAAAACTTGAGGAATAGCTAAGCTGGAATGGGTTTTTTCGAAAACGACCTCTCCCTTTGTGCAGTCAATTTCCCAAAAAGTTGAATGAATTCAAAAACTTTTTTATTCCAAAATGTAGAGGAGATCTTCAGCTTTCGAATGATATATAACACTCATATACATCTGTTCGATATCTTGAGAAAATTACAAAATAGTAAAAACGCGCATTCATAACTGGACAACCCAATATAAACGATCGTTTTTTGGTAATGTGTTTTCTGAAAAAACGGCTTATCCAATCAAAAAACGGTTTGCTTGATTCAAAAGCCCTATCCTTAATCTACAAAATGGCTTTTTTGAATTTTTGAAAAACGTTTTATTTTAGAACTTTTTCAGGCATTTGAATGTAAGAGTTCAAAATCCTGGTTTCTAGTATTCATGAGTTAATATATTTTTGAGTGATTGCATACTTTTTTTAAATAAAACGCTTCATCGATTACATAGTTTCCCAAAATTTCAGAACGTGTATAAAAGGTCTTTTCTGACCCCGCCCCTTTTGTCAATCAACTTTGAGCTCAAATTTCTTGGTGTTGGGCTGTCCAATTTAAATAATTTTTATACCAATCGACAGAGAAAGATTTGGTGCATCTAATGATATTAAAAATATTTAAATTGAACAGCCCAACACCAAGATATTTGAGCTCAAAGTTGGATTGCCAATGGCAAATGTCCGATAATCAAAAATTTATAGGGATTTACAACCCGACCGTTCTCTACAGCATTAAAACCCTCTGCGAATGGACCCAACAACTTTTGCTTGGACTTGTTTATCTCGAAAGTCAACACATTGTGCATCGTGACATAAAACCTGACAAGTCGGTTTTATTGTACAACCATAAATTTCATGTTCAGCATTTTTGTGACCACGGATTATCAGCTGAAGCTTGGCGATTTTGGGATTTGTGCGATTCTACATGAATCAAACCAAGAGTTTCCTGAAGCTGGGACCTATCGTTACGCTAATCCGTTTGGAAGAGGCTTTGTATTACTTTATCAGATTTCAAAGTTTTACTTATTTTTTAGGTTCGATACGAAGATGATTTGTATAGCCTGGGCCTGGTGATGTGGGAAATGGTCGAACGCAGGTGGTTGTACCAAAAGTTCTTGTCTTAACACTAGTTTATACGTCCAGCGTATTTCAATTTGTATATCAGTTTTAGATTGAGATTGAGATCTAAAATAGTTTGAAATGCAAAAATGCATTCTAACTTCTAAGCACGATCTGAATCACAGATACAACCGACTTCTACCGACCTCAACAATACAGGATGTTCAAGAATGACGGGCACTTTTTCTCTAGTGCTTAGCTCTGCCTAGAGTTAACCGTTCCCCATAAAACCTTTTTGGTAGAATTTATTGCTTATTTTCAACACTTTACCTCGATATTTTATTCAGAAACTCAAAATTAGTAATTCTATAGAACTTCGAATCTTCAAAGCCTCTGAGACGCGGCTCCTTGTGACCAAATTTTGAAAATAAATACTTACTATTCAAAAACTATTCACAGTTTAGGTTTTCTAAATTTATAATTGAGGTATTTACAACGTTTCATCCATGATCGGATAGTCATTATTGAAGTAATTCTTTAAGTTCAACATTTGGTCACAAATGGCCCCGTCGCAGACGCTTTGAAGGTTCGAAGTTCTATAGAATTACTAATTTTGAGTTTCTGAGTAAAGTATCGAGGTAAAGTGTTGAAAATAAGCAGTAAATTCTACCAAAAAAGTTTTATGGAGAATGGTTAACTCTAGGCGGAGCTAGGAACTAGAGAAAAAGTGCCCGTAATCCTTGAACATCCTGTACTTATACTTCAACCCAGATGGCTACTTGCACGAATTCAATAACGAAGCTAAAATGCAGAAGGATTCGAGCAAAATAGACCAAGATTTGTCCGAGAATAGGACGAAAACAACAATTTAACTGATTTAACTTGTATTTACCTACTTAACAGTGAGGAAATGAAAAAATTTAAACAATATATTGGGTTGTCCAGTTATGAATGCGCGTTTTTACTATTTTGTAATTTTCTCAAGATATCGAACAGATGTATATGAGTGTTATATATCATTCGAAAGCTGAAGATCTCCTCTACATTTTGGAATAAAAAAGTTTTTGAATTCATTCAACTTTTTGGGAAATTGACCGCACAAAGGGAGAGGCCGTTTTCGAAAAAACCCATTTCAGTTTAGCTATTCCTCAAGTTTTATGGTGTAAAATAACCGCCCAGAAAAGAAAAGAAAAGTAAAGATGCTCTGAAATTGTTATATTTTTAAAAAAGTTGTATTGATATATCTATTGGCCAAGCATCAAACGGTTAACTCAATTTGAGCGGAGCCAAAACTTGGTCCAAAGACACCCTTCCATTTTTTGGCCACCTCTTCTTCTGTGCAGTCAATTTGCCCAAAAGCTGGACAAATTCAAAAGCTTTTTTATATCAAAATGTAGAGGAGATCTTCAGCTTTCGAATAATACTTATATATATATCTTTTTCTTGATTTCGGTATCTTGATAAATTTACAAAATAGTAAAAAAAACGCGCATTCATAACTGGACAACCCAAATATGACAAGATTGGGGAGAAAAAGGTATTCAAGCGAGACAAGGATTGAGCAAAATTAGCAAAATTAGCACTTTTCCGTAATCGTTTCACGTTTTCTTACTTTGAAACTACTTTTGGATGTAAATTTTGTAATTTTTAAGGTAAATCGCAGCGGCGCTTTAAAATATTTAGCACAGTGATTGAGCTCAAACGAGATTCGGAATCTTTTTCAAGCGCTTGAAATTCCCGGCCTGGATTTTAATCTTATAAAAGACTGGCTTATACTTTAAATCATCTAAAACCAAAGCTTTTACAAATCAAACAAATCTTAACATTTCAAATTGCATTTCAGACGGGTTTATTCGGAGTATGGCCCTGATGTGAATCACTTTAATGCCAACAAATTTCATGATGATGCTTTTACGCAAAATAGGGTTCTTCTTGAGGCACCGAATTGCCCTGAGAACTTGCAGAAGATTATTTTTAGGTAATTTTTGATGATCTCATAAATTGAATAAAAATTGGGCCAATATTTCAGTTGCTATCAGTTTGATCACGAGAAACGCCCAAAGCCTATGGATGCTTTCTTGCAATTTTCGCACTTCACCATGCATGAAGTGAGTGCTTTTGGCTTTTACAATTATACAGGGTGACCAAGAATTACCACAACAACTTTTTGGACAAGTATCTGGGAAATGTCTAATTTATTTCAAAAGTGGCAAGTGTTATACAGAGAATTGTAGGCCTAATTCTCGGCAACATTTATCTACCAAAAACATCCCGATTGGACTTATACAACTCATTTAACAAGCGCTTGAATGCGCGTCGACATCTCTCCGGCGAATCTGTCATTTGGCCACTTTTCTACATTTTCTAAATGAGTTCACCAAATTCATAGCGCCAGAACAGCTGATATAACGAGATACGCATATGAACTGAATATCGAAAATGCTCAATTTTCCCTGCTCCTCCAAAAGGAGCTTGACATCAACTTAAATTTTGGTTATGCCAGTCCAGCCAAAACATTTAAGTGTGATTCTTAATGTTATTAAGTGGTAATAAACGCTATTTTTGCATTGAAGAAATATTGAAAAGCTTTTCTTATCAATTTTTCATAGAGAAAAGTGGCCAAATGACAGATTCGCCGGAGAGATGTCGACTAGCGCTCATTCAAGCGCTCGTTAAATGAGTTGTATAAGTCCAATCGGGATGTTTTTGGTAGATAAATGTTGCCGAGAATTAGGCCTACAATTCTCTGTATAACACTTGCCACTTTTGAAATAAATTACACATTTCCCAGATACTTGTCCAAAAAGTTGTTGCGGTAATTCTTGGTCACCCTGTAGTATCTAAAATTTTTGGGCTTAATGGTAAAAATGATTATAAATGAGACTTCGAATATAATATTTTTAGATTTTCCCAGTCGAGCTCCAATTCGACTTTCAACCGTACGTTGATCCAAGTCAGAAAATTCTCTATCGACCGATTGGCTTTGACAGAACGAAAAACAAAGTTCCCATTGAACAAGAAGAAGATCTTTCATCGATTTTACCCTCAAACTTGGGGATTTCCACAGAGGGATCTTTAGAAATTGTCGAAAAAGCGGAGAAAGAATTAAATGTACAATCTACTGATAAGCAAAGCGATTTTGTTGAGGAAAACAAAGCTAGCCACTTATGTAATCAAGTTCAAGAAAATGAAGATCACCAAAATTCACAATATGAAGAAAATAAGTCAACTTTTTTGTCGATTCTTCCAAAAACGTTTGATCTTTCAACTTTTCAAGCAACGAGTGGCTCTCTTGGACCCACTGATGAAGCCGATGATGTCAAATGGGAGAACACATCTTTTTTCCTGCCTGGAGACAAATTCTTCTATCTCATTGACAAATTTTTATTCGAAAAATATAAAGAAAAGAAAAACTCTGTTCCTAAAGAGGAGTTTTTGGTTTTCTCAACGATAAAGCCGCTAATCGTTGCGGCGAATTTCGAAGAACTGAAAAGTTTTATGCCGACTTTTCCAATCGACGATTTTCAAGTAAATGACTTTGATAGTTTGAAAGAGTTATTAGAAAAACGTTTAATTTTGGATTACTTTGTACAACTACAGCTTTTCGATTGTGCTTTTGAAGCTATTCGTTTCGCCGGAAACACTTTTTCCGGGCATCTATCAACTATGCAAATGATTCATAACTTGCGAAATCTGTTAGGGATTTTCAAGAGCACAAGGTACTCAAGAACAATTTATTATAAAAAGTTTGCTTCTGCAAGAACTGGAAAAAAATGGTTGTACTTGAATAAGCATGGGAACTATTTGAGATTTATTGATGAGAGTTTAACAACAGTGAAAATGTTTTTATGGAAAGGTGAAGGATCACCCTTGCAAATGCTTGTGCAAAACTTGGAAAACAATGAATTTTTCGGCAATTTTGACAATTTCGATACATTGACAAGAGTTGCACGTCAACCAATCGATTCTCATATGGTGATTGATACACTTGATCGCTTGCTAATCAAAACGATCGAGTCAATGGTTGAAACAGAGTTGTTCTTTAGTCGAAAAGATTTCTGTTCAACTATTGAAACTTTTTTGAATTTAAAACTTTTGAACTCGCCAATTTCTGGCTATGTTTTTCAGCTACGAAATCCACCAAAGCATATCTGCAATTGTGAAGAAATTTGTGAGATTGTGGGGATTTTACCTAAACAATTCGCTAATTTCGCTCAAAATCTAAAGAGAACTCCTGATCACAGTTTAAAATATTATAAATGTGCCACAAAAGAATTACAAGATTTTATGGAATTGTATCACTCATTTTGTGCAAGATTGACAATATTGTTGTCAATGAAGAGAAACGAGCCACCATATCCACAAGGATTTTTATCGTATGTTGAACCATCGACAGAAATATTCAAAAACGAACTCTACTTCTTTCACTATCAAAAAGTTGACTGTGAAAAAAGAAAAGATTTCATTCTACTCGATCATCCAATGAACTATTTGAAAACTGAACGAATTCCTTGTGTAGACTTTGAAATGAATTTTAATCGTTTATCAGCTATGGAAGTTCATCAAGGTATCAGCAAAGAGTCCTTGGTGTTGATGAATTATCATTTCCAAGCAAAGATTGTTTGTCTTGATGGAGAAACAATTGAGCATCCATCATTGAAGAATTACAAGGAATGGCATGAAGAACGAAAATCATCAATGCCTCCGAAAACGAAAGAGAACCAATTCCTTACACTCAAACAATTAAAGATTAAAGCAATAAGGGAACAGTTTGGAACTCAAGAATGTCAGGAAGGATCGCGACAGGTTTGCTATTAGTATTTTGGGTTACTATTTGTAAAGAAATATTCTTTGCGTGCTTGGTGCTCTTCACTCAAGACACGTTATTTCTTGTTTCGAGATATCTGATCTCCCTTGAACTAAAACGCTTTATTCAATAGCCGACTGACTCGGAATCTTTGGGCTCTCACTTGAGCAATTTTCACACAAAATCGACAATTGAATTAAAAGCGACGATAAAAACAGAAACAATTTCGTCCTAATTAGAACACAACTTTCATACGATGAAAGGAAAGCAGAAAAAAAAATAAAGATAACAAAATCGGGGGTGGGACAAATTTTTTTTTGCGCACCTGGACATTTGCGCACCTTTTTTTTGCTGGAAAAGGCATTAGGAAAGGTCGTAGAGCTTCAAAAATTTTTCCATACAAGGGAATCGTATGCGTAGATTCCGAATTTCGACAAATCAGACCTCGCTGACACGTCAAATTTGGGCTAAAAGGCAAAAACTGCGGAAAAGCGTTAAGTTGCGTAGTTTTTGCCTTTTAGCCCAAATTTGACGTGTCAGCGAGATCTGATTTGTCGAAATTCGGAATCTACGCATACGATCCCCTTCTATGAAAACATTTTTGAAGCTCTACGGCCTTGCCTAAGGCCTTTTCCAGCAGAAAAAAGGTGCGCAAATGTCCAGGTGCGCAAAAAAAAGGTCGCATTTGTCCCACCCCCCACAAAATCAAATGAATAACAGTTGCCTTATATAGGCTTTAACGCAAGATATTCAGCTAACAAGCTAAAAAACAATATATGATTTGGGGCGCGAAATAGACTGAAGGTGCACCGATTTCCTCAATACTTTTCCAATTTTTAGGCTGCCAGAGTTAGGTAGCTTTTTAGTGACTTTTCGCCACACTAATAGTATAGGGTGCGTCAAAAGTTCTGTTTCCTTTAATGTATGACATATATCTTCTACCGTTTTTTATTTTAAATTACGATTATGCATTTTATGTTTTTGTATTACTTTTAAGAAATTGGAAAAATTTTTACACCTGAAAAGGTGTGGTCAGAGGATGAAGATTATGGACAGATAATGAACATCGAGCTGAATAAAAAGGGAAAGCAGATTTCTGAGATCATCACAGATCACTGGATATAAGAAATCGAAAGTGCTAAGAGCCGTATCTTCCGTATCAGATTCACATCAGTTGAACAGCTCAAAGTCTTTTTGAGTCGAGATTTCGCTGAAGAAGTGCGTGACCATAGTTCGAAAGCGACTCAGCAAATGTATTGAAGCAAACGGAGAACATTTTGAGCATTTAACGTAATTTTTTAAACCTATATTGTTCTTAAATATTCAAAATTGATATTCTTGTTTGATTTTTTTATAAATTTGGTTTGAGTTTGCATACGGTGGCATGCGTTCGCTAAGAAATTAGCAGAACTTTTGGCGCACCTGTATTTTAAAGATAATTCACTAGAAATCAATTTAACCCCAATAAAATTTCGGTTTAGCTTGTGGAAAGTAAAGAGGAACGCATTGCGAGACTACTCGAAAAACAGGTACATCATCAAGAAAAATTGTTCATAACAGTTGAAAATTTTAGGAAACTAAACACTACAATGAATTTTTCGACTTTCTTGACAAATTTAACATTGGAGAAATGAAAGACCAAATGAGGAAAGGACTCGAAAAAGTGGCAAAAGGGAATGAGAATGATGTTGCGGACAGCGAGAAAAGTCTTCGAGAGCGATTAAATCTTATGGTAACTATTGGGCTGGTGAATTGAAAACTGCCGGCTATTGTCATATGTGACAGTTTGAGCACTTTCTTCAAAAGAAACCCATTCTGGTGTCAATGGAAAAGTTGTAGAGAATCAAAAATTAAGCTTATATCCAAATTTTCAGAACAATTCAAAAACTGGTTTTCAAGAAATGCCAAATTTACGAATTTTCACAAAACTTGCATTTTAAGCGAAACTACTAAGTGTATCTTTTTGAAAATTTGGCTATAAGCCTAGTTCTTGATTCTCTACAACTTTTCTATTGACACCAAAATGAGTTTCTTTTGAGGAAAGTGCTCAAACTGGGACATCCCCAGTCCTCCATTTTTGAGTCTCACACTTGCCTCACACACAAACCAAAATCCTAAGAGGAATCCGCAAATTGCCTGTAAAATGGGCAGAAATCGTCAATAATAATGGAAATTATTTGAAATAAATTGATGGTTTTATGTTCAATAAATTTTAGTTCAAAGTCCCGCAGTTTTCAATTCACCAACCAACCGAAAGTGACCCTAAGGGGTACTGGGAGTTGTTGGATAGCAGGACGACCGTTAATGCAATCAAATACAGTGAACAGTTGGGAAAGGTGAATGAATCCCTGAAGAAGAATAGGCCCTCCAAGTCAAAGATCGTTCTGATCCACGACAACGCGCGCCCTCATGTTGCAAAACTGACTCGCTCTAAAATAAATAGCCTTGTTTGGGAACTTTTGGCTCATTCCCCATACAGTCCGGACCTCGCCCCTTTTGATTACTATTTATTCCGGATCATGAGTAATGAGCTTGAGGGAGAACACTTCGACTTGGAAAAAGCAGTCAAAACTTGACTTTGAAAGTTTTTCGATTCAAAACCAAAACCCTACTACGAAAGAGGAATCCGCAAATTGCCTGTAAAATGGGCAGAAGTCGTCAATAATAATGGAAATTATTTCGAATGAATTTATGGTTCAATAAATTTTAGTACAAAGTCCCGCAGTTTTCAATTCACCAACCCAATAGTTAAAGTCTAATATCGATTTTTTGCAAATTTTAAACTGTTTTTCTAGAAAAAAGCTTCCATGGAAATTGTTGACATATGTGATCCGGATGACTTGGAATTGCTCTCGGACATTTTTGATGGGTTAGTTTAATTTTAATTTTAGAATACATCTTTTTAGTCATCTACAAATGTTTTGATGGCTGTCTTTTTGAAGTACGAAAGAGATTTTACATTCTAATTCCTTCACTTTCAAATTTCAAGAAAATTTCAACTGTATTCTGAATCAAAGCAATAAACTTTAGTTCAAGTTTCGTCTAGGCCTGGCCTGACTCAAACTAATGAAATAAGGTAAAGCTCGGCAAGGTTTAAAAGTCACAAGTACGATTGTTTATTAAAGATCAAGAAAATTAGTTGCTCTAACAAAACTTTGTGATGAACAAGCGGAGCAAGTCTCCGCGCACTGTTGCATGTGAGCTCCACACTGGTTTGACATTAGATATCCATGACATCTGAAAATATTGCCAAAGTTGCATAATATTGAAACTAGAATGAAAATCAAATTAAAACGAACACTTCAGCGGCAATACTGTCATAGCAAAAGCATTGATTTGACGAATCATAGAAGTTACATCGTTCAAATAGAGCACAAGAGCCACCGATTGCTGCTGGAATTTGACAAACTCTGGCAAACTGTTAAATTAATCTTGAGTTGGGCAAGTCGGTTCTTTTATGGATTGGGAATACAAAACGTGGTTGCCGTCGAGATTTGAATCCGTGGCCTCTCGCTTACCGGGCAAACGCTCTTCAAATGAGCTACACGGACACATAACCCCTTGCCGCCAGGGTAAGATCCTATGCCTTACTCTTTGACTGTCTTGAAAGTCTTGAAAAATCTTTCATTCATAATTTCCATTATCAAGTCTTGAAAAATCTTTCATTAGTTTGCAAAATTTGAAGTCAGCTTTTCAATTATTATTTTGAGGGAAATTTTAGTCCTCTCATAGGCAATAAAACAAGTAAAATAGTCACTTACGTCCCACGACCGTTGTTGGGGAAACGTTTGATGGCAGGTTTGGACATGGCTCTTCATTCAAATAGCACTCATCACCACCTCCATCATTGTAGCATGTTGATCCAACCGGGCAGCCTTGACGGAAAGATGCTGAAAATGGTTTTTACTCTGAAAAATATTGAATTAGATGTAAAAGCCAATGATTCAAGTGATGTTTCTATTGGGTTGGTGAATTTAAAACTGCCGGACTTTGAACTAAAATTTATTCAACATAAAACCATAAATTCATTCCAAATAATTTCCATTATTATTGACGATTTCTGCCCATTTTACAGGCAATTTGCGGATTCCTCTTTCGTAGTAGGATTTTTGGTTTGTGTGTGAGGCAAGTGTGAGACTCAAAAATGGAGGACTGGAGATGTCCCAGTTTGAGCACTTTTTTCAAAAGAAACCCATTTTGGTGTCAATAGAAAAGTTGTAGAGCATCAAAAATTAGGCTTATAGCCAAATTCCCAAAAAGACACACTTAGTAGTTTCGCTTAAAATGCAAATTTTGTGAAAATTCGTAAATTTGGCATTTCTTGAAAACCAGTTTTTGAATCGTTCTGAAAATTTGGATATAAGCTTAATTTTTGATTCTCCTACAACTTTTCCATTGACACCAAAATGGGTTTCTTTTGAAGAAAGTGCTCAAACTGTCACATATGATAATAGCCGGCAGTTTTCAATTCACCAACCCAATATTATTGATTTCTTGGCTAGTTAATTTTTTATTATGTCTTGTTGTTTTATTTTTGAATTTTATAAATAAATTTATAGAAATTACTTTATTTGGCAAGGTTTTCGGCAAATGCTATATCTTTTTGATTGAAACATTTCTTTTGTTAAAATATTAAAATCTCTAATAGTAGTGCACCCAGAGAGGGGATTGAAAAAAACAGTAGTCCGCACTACTATTATAGAAAATGTGGTAATTCAGTTTTTTTATTACTAACGATTAAGGAAAGAATTTACTGTTGTCAAACTAGAAACTGAATTACAGGGCCAATACCATTTCTTTTGCCTTTTAGGCAACCGAATTCATTCCTTAAAATAATATTTGAATTACACTTTGCTTTGTATAGGGTGCATTTGATTTACTTTCAGAGTTTCGACTCTGAAAGCATTAGACACAGCCCTTTCAGGGGAAACGTCTTTTCCTCTGACAATTTTTGCCTTTTCAACACTACACTTGCTGATTTGCATTCTCTACGAATTTTAAGATAACTTTTATCTTTTAGCATAAACAGCTTTTACACTCATTTCTTATGAAGTACAAAAACTTTTTAACTAAACTAATCTCTGATTTTATTCACTTGTTCAATACTTACATTTAAATCCACCCCAAGTGACATTGATCGGAGCATACGGGCAATAGGTTGGCTCATCCGAAAAACACTGGTTATCCCCATTCCACCAGTAACAAATCGTGCCACTGTCACAGAAGCCGAACGCTGCTAAAATTGAAAAATAGTAGATCTATAGTAGTTCTAACTATAAGTTTTTGAAAACTTTTAGAATAGGAATTTATCATTTGCGATCTCACCTCAATAACTATTGTGATTAAGATTTTCTTCATAATCCAATCAAACATACGTCCAACCGCTCCCCAAGTGATACTGTCAGGCACAGGAGGACAATCACTGAAGCATTGAAGTGCCGGTCCACTGTCGTAGTAATAAGTGTCCGTTGTATCGTAGCAAGTTGTACCATTTGGACATCCATCGATGTAGGCTGAATGGAAAGGTAAAAATTAAGGCCAATTAGTAACAGATTTGAGAATCGAAAGCGTAATTTTAAAAAAAACCGACGCAGAGTTGCGTGCCAAGTGATGGCTGGTGGTAGAGGATCACACTGAGCGGTGACCTGGAAATTTTGAACTAAAGTTCTGTCAGAGTAAAGTTGATCAAAACTACAAAATCAATTCATAATCTCATGAATATTCGCTTTTCTTTTTCGCCTGTGTAAACTTTTTTAGGTACTCTACTGTGCTAGATGCGGCAGAAACGAGATACTGTGCTTACTAGGCACTGTCGCACCGTCTTAGGGAGCACTAACTACTACTGTACAGTGCTGAAATAAGACACGGAATTAAGGTAACGTATTGTACTTTGTAGAATAAATTGTGTTAAGATCAAATTGAAATTGAGCGAATTGAATACAGTACAAACCTGATGCAAAGCAATGATGACAATTAAAATAAGGAGACTCTGCATGATTCTCCTTTTGGCTTGACTTCATTTGTTTGAGTCTTTTATATCAAACTTCATTTTGAAAATGCTGCCATTTTTATGCCGATTTGAATGGATTGAATGGAACGCCACGTTCCCACATTTTCAATGCTGATTGGTCGAATAAACCAGGAAATTTTTGTTTTTGAACAAAGTTCATCAACTAGCACCTCCTGGATGATTTAACTGTTGACTTTTTCAATGAGACATTTCAATGAGGCTAAATCGAAATTTTATTGCGGTTAACTTGATATTTAGTTATTATCTTTAAACTATAATACTAATAGCAAACTTGTTCCGATTCTTCCTGACATTCTTACGTTCCAAACTGCTCCCTTATTGCCTTAATCTTCAATTGCTTGAGTGTAAGGAATTGAAGATTAAGGCTAATAGTAACCCATAATACTAATAGCAAACCTGTTCCGATCCTTCCTGACATTCTTACGTTCCAAAATGCTCCCTTATTGCCTTAATCTTCAATTGCTTGAGTGTAAGGAATTGGTTCTCTTTCATTTTCGGAGGAATTGACGGCTTTCGTTCTTCATGAGATTCTTTGTAATTCTTCAATGATGGAGCAATCGTTTCTCCATCAAGACAACCAATCTTGGCCTGGAAATGATAATTCATCAACACCAAGGACTCTTTGCTGACACCTTGATGAACTTGAACCCATCAAAAATTTCATGCCCTTAAACGGGATTGAATCGTCGACCTTTGGTTTACAAGACCAACGTTCTATCACTGAGCTAAAAGGGCTGTTGAAAAGTGAGAAATTGAGAAGAAACTGTTTTTGAATGTTTGAACAGCTTATTGAGTTCCTTTTGATCAACAAATATCTCATTGATCTATTCATTATCCATTTTTCTTTCTCCCAACTCGTCGTCCGTTTAGCTCAGTGGCAGAGCGTCTGTCTCTTAAAAGAATTGAGTCAACCGAAGGTCATCAGTTCAATCCTGATAGTGGGCAATTCATTTTTGAAATTTGAGAGGGGCTGTGTCCTTCATGAAAATAATATGAATTCTTGGATCTCATCGTCTCATTGGCTCAGTGGCAGAGCGTCTGTCTAGTAAACAGAAGGTCGCTGGTTCGATTCCAGCATGAGACATCTATTTTTGAAATTTTTTAGAAGAGAGTGAGCGAATTTCGATTGGTTAAACGAATTTTGCCGGATTCTTGAGGCTTTTCAGAGAGGATCCAATCTCTACGCAAAAATCGAAAAAATTCAAAAAAGAAATCTGGGGAGGGATTGGAAAAAATACAAAAAAAAACATTTCAAAAATAGATGTCTCATGCTGGAATCGAACCAGCGACCTTCTGTTTACTAGACAGACGCTCTGCCACTGAGCCAATGAGACGATGAGATCCAAGAATTCATATTATTTTCATGAATGGCACAATTCCCGTTGAATTTCAAAAATGAAGAGATGAATGAAATAGTTGTTCATCCATTTTTCTTTCTTTCCACGCATCGCCCGTTTAGCTCAGTGGCAGAGCGTCTGTCTCGTAAAAGAATTGAGTAAACAGAAGGTCATCAGTTCAATCCTGATAGTGGGCAATTCATTTTTGATTGAAATTTGGGAATTGTATCATTCATAAGGATAATTTCAACTCTGGAATCCCATCGTCTCATTGGCTCAGTGGCAGAGCGTCTGTCTAGTACACCTCAATGTCTAGCAAACAGAAGGTCGCTCGTTAGATTCCAGCATGAGACATCTATTTTTAAAATGCTTTATGTTTACGATCTCTTCCCGGTTTTCCATCAACCATTTAGCCTCGAGAATTCGTCTATGATCGGAATCCAATGTCAATAATCGAGAAAATTACGGTTAAAATTGCCACTTTTGGTTGATTCGTTCACAATGGAGAACCCGACAACCCATTTCTGTTTTGAATAGTTTCAGGGTTTTCCGCG